GAGATAGTTGAGAGAGAGAGAGAGAGAGAGAGACCTCACCACTCCACGGAGCTTGCACTGATCGGGGTTCCCAGATGATGATGGTAGCCGGGGGTCCAGAGGGCAGGAGAAAAGCAGGACAGAGCCCCCAGCACGATCAGACAGGAGATGAAGAAGTCTCAATGGAACTGATGCAGTTTAAGTCCAGGTATCAGAACAGTTTTCTTGGGGCAAGGATAGGAGTTTTTATAGGGATAGTTCAAAGAGAAAGAGGAGAGACAATAGAGACTGATCACCCCTGGTTATGGGTGATGTTCCTTGAACGAGCTCACAATGCAACTAGGCAGTTTCAGTATTTTAGATGTCAATAGGATCGTTACTAGAATTGGTCTGATAATGACTAATTTGGGTGTGAGCAGGCATGGGTTCATTAGCATCTGGAGCAGGGATTTCCCATCAGGCAGTGCTTCTCTGCTTTTGGTGTCCCATAGTTCACTGCGGTTCTTGTCTTGGAAGAGCTGCTCTCCATTCTGTATGCTAATGCGATGTCCATCTGTTCCATCTTTAATGCAGATGAGGCTGGGGTGTTTCCCTAATTGTATCACCCTTGTCTGAAGCAGTTTAGGTGTGTTTTCCCTGTCCTTTTCATTGCTTTGTCTGATTCCAGCAAAGGCTTAGGGGAAGGGGAGGGGGGGAGATGGTTTTCCATGAATGTCACTCCCTAGCTCCCAAAAGCACAGGGCTGGTAGGTAACACCATCTCATATGTCGCCGCTCGTGATCGACCCATGATGAGGCAATCATTGAGATACAGAAAAATGACGACCCCGTTGCCTAAGATAAGCTGCCGCAACTGCGAGTACCTTTGAGAAAATGCGGGGGGCCAAAGAAAGTCTGAAGGGGAGAACCGTATGCTGAAAATGGTCATCCCCAACCATGAAACGGAGGTAACATCTGTATGAGGGCTGTATCGTGATGTGGAAGTATGCATCTTATAGGCCAAGGGCTGCAAGCCAGTCCCCCCTGTCCAGTGTGACCATGTTGTAACATTGTTGCACAGGAATTTGTTTAGTTTGCCAAGATCCAAAATCAGTCATATGCTTTTGGGTGAGAAAGTAGGTCAAATAGAACCCTCTTCCTTTGTAGGGTTTGGGTACCCTCTCTACTGCACCTATCTAGAGGAGGTGGTCAATTTCTTGCCTGAGAAGAGTCTCGTGAGAGGGGTCCCTGAAGAGAGCCAGGAAAGGTAGGGAGGTGGGGGAAATAACGTGAAGGTATGAAGTATCCCGTGTGGATGATCTCTAGCACCCATCGATCTGATGTTACTGAATCCCAGTGTTGGAAAAAGAGGCGTAATCTGTGGGAAAAGATGCATTTCTGGCTTGTTAATACTGGGGGTACATCTAGACTACAGGCTTTTGTCAACAAGTTTTGTTGACAGAAACTGTCGACAAAGAGCATCTAGACTACATCCAGTTCTGTCGACAAAGCAAGCCGCTTTGTCGACATGACAGTGTAGATGCAAAGGACAGTGTAGATGCAATAACGCCTTCTGTCGACAAAAGGCATTATTCCTCATAGAATGAGGTTTACAGCTGTTGACAGAACTCAGCAGCAGTGTAGACACAGGTATAGTTTTGTCGACAAAACCCTGTAGTCTAGACACAAGGTGGATGGTTGGGGAGGTCGGGCAAACCCTCAACCAATTCCTCAAATCTGCTGTTTGGTGGTCTGTGATCCGGAGAAGCGTGCTTGAGGTGGGCGCTTCCTCTGGGGCCGCGCTGCCTGGATTAGTTGTACTTGTATGCTCTTTGCTGAGGGCGGTTGTAGTAGCTGTACTTATTTCTGTTGTAAGGGGTGTGCTTCTTTCTCTGGTATGGTGGTGTGTACATGCCAAGGGTGCGAAGCGTGGTGCGAGAGTCCTTGCTGCTGTGAAGGATCTCTCCTCTGTGTTCGCTGTGAACAGCTTTTGTTTATCAAAAAGGAGGTCTTCCAATTTAATCTGTAGCTCTTTTGGCACCTCTGCTGCATGTAACTATGAGGCTCTCCTCATCATGACAGCAGTTGCCGTTGCTCTGGCCACCATGTCAGCAACATCTATGGCTGCTAGTAGAGAAGTACAGGCAATAGTGTGTCCCTTGTGGATGATCGCCCTGAGAATGGGCTTCTTGGAAGCAGGCAGATATTCCATGAGCTCAGCCATCTTAGAGTAATTGTCGAAGTCATGATTAGCTAGCAGTGCAGAATAGTTTGCTATTCTAAGCTGCAGTGTGGCTGATGAGTAGGTCTTCCTGCCAAAGATGTCTAGCTTCTTGTACTCTTTTTCATTGCTTGCAGATTTGATCTGGGAAGCCTTGTAGTGTTGGTTCGCTGCATCTACCACCAGTGAGTTTGGCTGGGGATGGGAAAGAAGAAAATCCAGGTCCTTGGGGGAGGAGGGAGACAAAGTACTTTGTCCCCTTTTTGCAGGTTGGTTGGATGGAGGCAGGTGTCTGCTAAATGTTGTCAGATACCTCCATTATTGCCCCATCAATAGGAAGAACAATCCTTCCTTGAGAGGATGGGCTAATGTTCTTTAGGAAGCGATATAGTTTCTTTTTTACTTCTTGGAGTTGAACCTCCTGGATGGTGGTTACTCTTAAAAAGGTCTTGGAATTGTCTGAGGTCGTCTGAAGAGTTTGATGTTTCTGGTACTACAGCATCCCCGACGGGTGGAGACGAATTATCTTCCAATGCCTGCTGGTCTTGTGTGACACTCCCCTCGTCAGGAATTTGACCCTTATCTTCTTCCAAGTCCAGCAAAGGTGGGAAGGTGTGAGATGGAGAGGCTGGTGGGAGTCTCCTAAGTGAGACAGTTGTGCCCCTTGGATGGTGTCTGTGTGGCTCCCTATAGTCCCACGGTGTCCACCTGGTAAAGTAGTAGGGAGGAGGATGCTACCATTCTGGGTACCAATGAGAATAATGAGGTCTTTCATGGTACAGTACTGCTGAAATTGACGAGATGTAGTTGGGGATGAGTGTTTAGAGAAAACACTCTTCTGATCATATTCAGTAACTGCAACATCCCTCTGTGTCAACAGAGGTCTCGTGCCATGTGAGAATGAACCTGGAGAGTCAACTAACTGTGGGGGACCCCCTGGATGTGGGTCTGCTGAACGCTGTAGGTTTCAACTGTTAAGACAGAATTGGCTTCAGCTTGCGCTGTGCTCTTATGCTGCCACATCTGCACTATAGCCTCTGATGCGGAGGGCTTCTCTGCAGGTGATGGCTTAGGAGGTGGTGGTGCTGAGGATTAGCAGGCGGTTCAATGTTCCTTTGTGGCACTGAATGCTGCGGTGCCAGCTTCAGCGATGGAGCAGCTTCTGCCTGTGCAGTCTATGTGATGCTATTGACATGTGTGCCAGCTCCAAGCTAGTGTGAGTTACGGCTACGATGGCAGTCTTCGGTGCCGAGTGTAAGGTGTCCCCGGTGATCCGTCTGGGGGACGGCTTCTCTGGCAGTGAGCTAGCCAGAGAGACTCTTGCCCTGCTCTGTTTATGGGGCAATGGAGACACAGAGCTGCATTTCAGGTCTCCATGCTTTGCCAGTGGTTCGGGCTCATCTGATGGTTGCAGCGCCCTGTCAACTGAAATCATTTGGAGCCCCATTTCACGGTCCTTCCAGGCTCTGGCCTTGAGGCTCTTCCAATGGTCGCATTTTTGGGGGGCATGGGCTTCCCCCAAGCATCTTACATATGCTTCATGCCCGTCAGAGGCTGGCATGGGCTCATTACATTTTAAACATTTCTTAAAACTTGTAGGGCTGGGCATGCCGAGCGACGTTGACTCTCATGCTGCCTTATTCTCCTTTTCTCTCTCTCTCTCTCTCTCTCTCTCTCTTTTTTTGAGAGAGAGAGAGAGAGAGAGAGAGAGAGAGTGAAGGCTGGGTATGAGAGGTATTAAAGTTGCCACCACTGCAGCTGTCCATCAGGACTGAGGCTAGGACAGCCTGTTCTTTCTGTTTGCTATTCATTCTTTGAAGCTGTAACTAGTAGTCAATTAAGGACAATAGCCCAGAAGGAAAAGGCAATTAAGCAACAAGTATGTGTGAAGAGAGAAAACGCCTGAGGCAAGAGAGATCAGAGCTCTCTATGTGACTGATGGCAGTTGAAGAGAAACTGAAGGGGTGGTTGGCCTGCCGCACGAGGCACCAAGCTCAGTGGCGCAAGACGCCTCCTAGGTGTGCGCAGCCCAAACTGTCAACTGCTAAGAAAAGCTGCGATGTGCAGTTCCAGGGACCACCCATCACCAACAATGGAGCACCCATTGGGACATCAAAGAACCATAATGTCCCTTGAACTGGAATGCCACGAAGCTGAAGCCTGAGCTGCCACTCATCCACCCCCAATAACAATGCCTGCATTCAAACATGATTTAGGAGGAAGCAGCAGTACTCAAATACTTTAATGTGAAATTGCAGTTCAGACCACACAATGATCATGCCAAAGAAGGCCTCTATCAAAGAGAACAAACTATAAGCTTGACAGGTTTTTATATTATAATACAGGTTAAAAACATTACTTGAGGCAGTCTTTATGAATTGTTAAGCACTAAACCACACAAATTGTTTTGCTTCACAGTTCATCTTTATATTTTCATTAAAATACAATTATGTCTCACACCTACAAATGCGGGTGTACAGTTGGCACAAGTGTCTATTTGCAGTTCTAAAAACGTTTCCTTAAATAATTGTAACACATGAGTTTACTGATGTGCACATAACCTTCACTTCCAAATAATTTCATGATGGCTGTAAGCTAGTTCAGACAAACTTAAGAGACTAGCCATTGGTTTTTCATATTCTGTTTCTGAGGACTTATGTGAACTCTCTTACAACCAATCAACCCTCTGAGAGAGACAACACTCACCACTACTGGGGTTTTTTCCCCTGGGAATTTACTTACATTCTGCAAAAGAATTTGAAAGGGGGAGGTGAATCACAGAAATGTTATACTCTGAAATTTTCTTTTTTTCCATCTCTTAGTTCTGTGAAGTGATAACATTGTCATGGCTGAAGCACCTCTCTGGGAAGGTAGTGCGAGTGATGCTAGATTATGTTGATCATGTCAGCATCTGCTATAAGCTGAAAGCAGTTCTCAAGGAACAGACACTCTGGCCAGAAATCAATTCCATTTTGAGTAAGTGTCAGGTTTCTAGAGTTCTAAAACATCCAAAATGCTAAATGATACTACTTTTTGGCTTGCTTATTAGCTATATCATATTTGCAACACTGGACCAGATCCTCAAAAGTATTTAGATACCCACCTTTTATTGATTCATTGAGAATTAGGCTACTTTTCTGGGCCAGCATTGATTTGTCCTGCCCATCCTTGTAACAAAAATTAAACTTCAGATGAAAATAAAATTTTCAAATACAACAAGCCTTGGAAGTGTTTGCAATATAAAATAGTCACATCAGTAAGAATGTCACTTTGGGTGGTGAAAGAGTTTCCTGGTTACAAAACTGCAGTAGATTATATCTATTGATGCTTAATTAAATGCATATTGAGTCCACAGAACTATATATTTGTACTTTATGTTGCTTAGGACTAAAAGAAAAGGGTTTGTTCCTGCTTTATCACTGCTGCATCAAACACTGTTCTTTATATAAAGCAATTCAATACACTGGCAATTTCTTTCAAATTACATTATTTTAGTCTAGTCACATAGAGCTGTTAGCTCATTTGGCCCCCTTATTTTTTTCTTAATAATGAATGCAAGTGCTGTTAAAAAAAAATAAAGGGGCAAGAATGATTGCTGCATAATAGGGAAAAGTTAACACACTAACCATTCCTTGTAATCTTATTACTCTTCTTCTTCTGTGCCTTTCTGAGGCAACAGACAATCCATTTTTGTTTCAGGCCTAAATTACCCTTGGCCAAAGCTTTTCTTCAAACTTTAGTTAATTTGTGTTTCAAGCTTCAATTTACAGAGACTAGGCTAATGGCTCAGTTAATGGCTTTTCCAAAAATGTTACTTTTATGGATTTGGTGATCACTTACCAGGGAACAGATCCTGATATCTTGACAAGTGCAAGCTTACTCCCAGAAAGCCCCACTGTGATTTCAATGAATGTGTTCAAAGCTAAAGTTTCTCAAATGTTGCTTAGGGCTCTCAGGGAAAGTAAATATCTTGTTTCTTATTTGATTGGTAAAAAAACAAATTTTCTTTCTTTTTAAGCAAATCCACGTTCTTTGAAACATCTTTGTCGTCTGAAGATTCGGAAATGCATGGGCCATTTGCGTCTGCGTTGTTCTGTCTTCATGACATTCCTTCCACTGCCCAATCGTTTGAAAGAATATATCCTGTACACAGAATATGATCTTTATGGACAAAGAAATGTGATAGGAACCCAGTAATCCAACTGCACAGAATTATAGTCCTGTATTTTGGGGAGAGTATTTTAATGGATTAAGATTGTAATATATGTAGTTCTTTTCATCTACTGGGATTTTTCATTTCTAAAAACCAGCCAATTACCATGGTGAAAATTTTTCTGGATAAAAAGGAAAAAATATAGTACAGAGTAAGTACTGATAACCCAACATATAGTCCTCATAGCATAAAAAGCATCAAGGATTTAACAGAAGCAATTAAAAAGTAAGGGCAATAATATTTTAGAGCTATCTAGCATAAATGTTTAGGGCAGCATTTTGAAACAGATGGAATGGGAAATGTCATTCAAGAGGTATGATTCAGGTTGTAAGAAGGAGTTCAGATTCTTCTCCAAATGCCTTGGGTCTGCACATCTGGGCTGAAAACTCTTTTAAAACTTCTACATCCTGCTTCTGGCTGTTAGGACAATATTGTGGTCCAGCCTTCATTGCAATATTTTAATTTGAGTAGAACTAAAGAGAAGCAAAGCCACAGTCGCCCTTAGAAATGATAGGGCCCATTGCAAATGAGCCCTCCCCACAATGTAGCGTTGCCAGAGGGTTTGGGGCTTCCCCCATGCAAGTTCTGCTGGGAGCATGGGACTTTGTCACTCTCTCCCTCATACAGCTTCCAGTAGGGTTCAGGGACTTCCCTGGGGCCTCCTCTCCACTGCCAATCTAGCAGCAGTGAGCCGTCACTAGCAAGTTGCTGCTGGCTGAGAGGAGCATGTGAGGGAAGGAGGGAGACGTCCTGAAGCAGACAGGAGAGAGCAGCTTCAGGGAACGGTCAGAGAGGAACCAGCAGAGGCATATCCTCAGGCACACAAGAACACGCAGCTGCGTAGGAATATCCAAAATTTGGGTTTGTATGCTGCTGCATATTTTGCATATGCCGAGGGGATGGCCCTGAGCCAAGGCATTTCCCCCTGCTCCCAACCATGAAGAGCTGGGAGAAATGTTTGAAATGTTTTGACTTATTAAGGTTTGTTATTTAGTGAATACTGTCCTCTGGTCAATCACTGCAGCATGGGAAGGAAAGGCAATGTTGCTATATACTGAATAGTACTTCATATATACTTACGTAGTAATTATCAATTTGCATGCTCATATAGTGCATTATGTAACTAAACATTTCCTTACATTTCTCAAAGTTAGGAATAGTTCCAAGTGTGCAAAATACTGCAGAAGAAACGAACAGTGGATATGTAAAAGTAAGCAGTTCAATAAACATGATGGCATTAATAGTATTTATTTTTTCATGAGTTTATATTCAGGTAAGTATAGAGTTTTATTTATACATGCAACTGTATCACTCAAGTTACACAATTCAAAAGCCCATTTTTCCCCCAGAAAAATCTATAAACTTTATAAAATACAGATTGGACTAATATGTTATTATCGTTGCTTCTTACATGGTGCCTACTCAAGTACTGAATAAAACTAATAAGTGGGTGGGAAATATGCATTAGTATCTGTATTAATAGGTCTGAAGTTCTAAACCTTTCAGGTTGTGCTGGTATAATTTCTGTACCCATCAATTCTGTTCATTTACATAACCACAGTTCTTTAGAAAGTGCTATATATGCATATGACAAAGCTAACAAGATATGCATTAAAACAGCCAGCTAATGTACCAATGATATTTTCTATTACTGTTCAGTCCTTTATAGTTGCAAAAATAAATCAGCATCATGCCCCTCCATTTTCTTTTTATTAAGCACAATAAGTATTTCACTGGATATAATTGGGTAATGTTTCAAAATTATTGACAAAATTGAAATAGCTGAAGCCCTACATTGCCCACATATATCTGTGAAATTGTATATTTAGTGGGGGAAAAACAAAACCATACCAGTCAAGTGCCTTTTTTTTTTTGGAAGCAAACATCAGAAAAAAAGTCTTTGTGTTTTAAAGTAAGTCTAATTGAAATGAAGATTATTGTACAAAGCCAACTTTGAACTTTTTATTAGCGAACTTAAAATCACATTAACTGAAGCCCTGGCTAATACCTTCACACTCAGAAAAGTAGATATTAAAGCCAATTATCAAACTGACACTAGGTGTAACCATTTGAGAGTGATTGCTTTATTACAAATAGTCAGGGAGAAAGTTATAAGACTCTTAAAAACATTGAACAATTTCTTATATATCACTAGAACAAGACCAAGCCAGTACATTATGATAAGATTTTGACCAATCCACAACATTACAAAATCCTTTGTTTGAATATAGACATCATTATGGAACATCAATGCAGGCACAATGGTATGGTGACGTTATTTTCATGATCAATTAGACATCACTGTAAGCAGAAGAAAGTTACTTTATTTCATGTAAAGAACTTTGGGCAGTCTAGTAAACAAAAGAGATTTTGTGAAAGAGTAAGGGACAGAAAGAGAAAAAAAAAGAGTCAATTATGCACAATATTTCTTTCCTGGATTCACTTAATATGTTAAAGAGTTCTCTCTTAAAAACCCAAGTAAGATGCAGGCAAAGACTGAAAATGTTGTCTTTTTGTTTGTGTGTGAATTATGAAGGAATTCACTTGTAGGAGTTTTGATAAAAGAACTTTATAGACTTATTTTCACGTAGCAAATACTTAAAGACTTTTCTTTTGATGGGAACGGGGGTTGAAGGTTTAGAATACAGTGCATACTGTGATAATGAGGAGTCATTAAAACATTAATTCTGTAAATTTTGATCTACAACTCTTCAAATTATGCAAAAGTAAAAAACAGACCACATGTTGAACCTTTCTAATCTGGGACTCTCTGGTCTGGCAACATCTATGGTCTGGCATCCTTGGGGACGGAGCAGTGTATGTATAGGGGGGTGGGGTGGGATGGGGGAGGACACTATGGCAGCAGAATCATGGATGTTGCCAGACCAGAGAACCCCAGTGGCCAGTAGGGGAGCCAGGTTGACAGCAGGGTACCAGCGGCCGAAGACCCAGCTGGAGTTAGGAGAGGAGCCGGGCCAAGTGCCCTTGGGTCTTCATTGACCTCCCTAGCAAACTCCCTGGTTTGGGACTGGTCTAGTCCAGGGAAGTTGGACCAGGGAGGTCCAACCTGTACCTGTAGGTTAAGAGAAATGTTTTGTGTAATGTTTGAGATTATAGTAATTAAACAACCCTGTCTTCTTACACTCTGTGCAAATATCAATTCTAATTTATAAAAATAAACCTTAAACATAAACACAGGGTAAGTCCTGCTTATTTAAATGAATGTATACGTAGAGTAAATCTGCTGGCGACTCCAAATTACTTTGATTTACACTCATGTAATTGAGCACAATTGATTAGATTTCCTGGGGGGAGGGAGATCAGCTAATTGTTATTGTTAAAACAGAGTCAACTCTAGCCTCATGATTACTGAAAATGTTTCATCTCATTTTTAATTCCAGACCCAAGAAACCATGTAATAGAGTACACATGCAAATAAGTTTGTCTTAACTGACCGCATTCAGTTCCTTGCGGGCCAAAATTATGGATCTTTTAAGCTTGATTAGTATAGCAGTGTTAAAAGAGCAATTTTTCATGGCTACAATGGGCAAATATTCACAGTGTAACAGAACGTATTACATATCCAAAAACACCCAGCATAACATACCTGCAGAATGTATGTAACAACACCTGAAACATGAGAACATCCAGAGGTACTGGTTTGTCTGTCACACTTATTTCTTGGATAAAAACACTAGATAGTCACCCAAATAAAATATAAGCCTACAGTGTTGCAACAAGCATACTAACCACTTAACTAAAAAGTGATAATTATGAGGATAAAGTTTAGCAATAAAAAGATGGTTAGAATTAATCAACACTGTTGCCACAATGTATGTTTGTTAACTGGCATTTTTAAATCTATTTCTAGATAACTGAGCTTTAAAAGGCCCAACATATTGGTTTCACATGCTCCAGGGCCATGACTTTAGATGCTGTAGATAATATAATTCACCCAATGGCAGAAAGATGGGAGGTCAGAGTATTTATGAGAAAAAATGAACAAAGAGTTTCTAATAAATATTTCAATCTTATTCCAACATGCACTTTGATAGCAATCTACGAGCCATAGCAAAACACTAATGTAAGAAAAAACACGCCAAATTAGGTAACTTATGATCAGAGAGCATTTTGTTGTTTTTTTGTTTAATGTATAGATAAGAATCTCTGCATTCAGACCCCACTCAATCTTTGTCATTTATTGTAATTAAAAAAAATGTAGCAAAACCAATTCTCTCTAATGACTGAGTTATAAATTTTATACAAAATATTGTTCTAAAATCTGTTATATATGGAAAAACCACCTCCTACAGCTTCCAGAAGCTAACCTGAAACCACTGTTTGAAAGAAGCAGTTACACTGGAAACTTAACACACACATTCACACACGTTCTACAGTATAAAGTGCATTCCACAGGGTCAAATAGCTACTTTGACATAGGCTATATAACAATAAAGCTATAAAGTAATTCTAGCCTTCATAAAAACGAGGTGGCACCTTATTAATCTGCTTTATACCACAGAGCTGATCCATCCTTCAACTACTATTTACTAGTAATTGGCTTAGTTCTTCATCCTTCCATCTCCCTTAGCAGTGACTTCAGATCCCTTCCAGACTACATGTCAGTAGGCTCACTAACCCTACCTACTTACTCACTGCCACAGTACAGATACTGCTGCACAGAAAAATCTATACACAAGCTAGTCAACCTAACTAGCTTGAATGTTGATTCTGTGGCTAACAGTAATACTGAAAATAGCACAATGAGGATTCGGCACAGGTAGTACAAACCCAGCACACACCTAACGTATATACTCTGCTTGCTCACCCTGCCAGTCTTTGTACTCATGCTAGCTATATTCAAATTAAGTCAAGTAGGCTAGCCCCTGAAAAGCTTTTTTTGCTTTGTAGATATACCTTAAATGAGACCAGTCCCATGCCGATAGGATGACATGATTCAGAGAAAAAAAAAGTCTTTCTTAATTGCACTGTGGGTAAGGGAGACATGCAAAATTACCAGTACACATGCCACACACATAGGAGAGGCTTGGGTGGGTCTATTGGGTAACTGTAGCAAACCTCTCTTGGCTTTGAAGTAGTTTTGGATCACAGATCAAGACATTCTCTTCTCCAAGCACTGGCCTCTCTCACAACTTCACTCATTTCCATCTCTTCACTTTAATCTCCTTGAGCATGTACTCCACTCAGGCTGCCTCCACGTCCTTCAACGCTCTCTCAGGATCTCCTTAAATCTGTTTTTAAACACCTCCATAGGTGGTGTAACTGCTTTTACCAAGTGTAAAGACCTCTCTTCTCATTCACTTCAATCTACCTTTCTACTCCTAAGGATCATCCACTTTATTCAATTCCTTCTGTAAGGTACTTCCCACATCAAGAAGTGGGGTTGCACTTTCTTTTTAATAGCTGAGTCATTCTAAGATGCTGGAAAAGAGATTATTCTCACTCAACTATCTATCAGGCTCAAACAACTATATATTATGACATTAATGCAGAAACAAATGGAAGAGATGCAATAATATGTCGTATCTTAAAGATCCACATATCATAGTAAATTACATACATCCCCTTTTTCCCTTTTATTCCTTGTAGTCGAATATTTATGCTAGAGTACTGTAATATCTATGGCTACCTGAGAGCCATGGACAGCTAGACACACAATAACAAACCACCTGACTTTACAAGCCAAGGAATAAGAAAAAATGATCCCAAAAAGTTTTTGAAAAGTATTAAAATATTTCCCTCAAATGATTTTTGTGAAATATGTAGCAGAAGGTTAGGTTTTGACTATCATGACTGAAGTGATTTGTTTAATTTACAGAAAAATTGAGGCTGAAGTAAACTATTCAGGCAGTGCTGAAAATCAAAAATTATAAATGATCAATTTCCAATATTTTCAGTGCCTCTTCTGGGAGATCATGAGTTAGGCAGGAGAGTTAAGATGCTGGGAGTTGAGACTATTCAAAACCCTGGAATAGAGCCAGACGCTCCACCATCTTCTGACTATTCCTTGCTAACATCACACCAGGCTATCCTCTTCTGTCTTGTATAATGGGATTATGAGTGGACATAAGGGTTTGGGAGCATGGTCCTCCTCCCTAGTCTCCTCTAGGCTGGGTCCCATATTCCCCAATACAGCATATTTTTCCAGGTGTTGCTGCTGCCTTGTCCTAATCTGAATACATTTGATGTCTTTAGGCTTCCAAAAACAATATAAAGAATATGATGTATATTTCTTCCTAGGCCCAAGCCACCATCTCATTTCACTGACAGTTACATGAGGTAAGGTACCTGAGATCTATTATCATCATTCTCTAGGATCTAAATTTGAGAGGCATAGTTTTCATTAGTATTTTCTGATTGTATTGTTTGTTCTGTTTCCAGCTGTGACCTGATGTTCTCACTACAATTTTGAGAAGTGAGGTGCCAATTCAATGCTATTTGTTTTTCCTAAACAGAATGAACGTACATTTTATCTAGTTGGCTTTCTAAAGGCTGACAGGAACCCTACCCTAGCTAAACTGGTTAACTATGGTCATTGGCTAGACTGCAGCCAAGTTTAAGGATTAGTGCAGACAGATAATGGGAATCCCGTATTATAAAATCTTCAAATAGATAGAGTCCAGCAACAGTTCCTGCTCAAATAAGTTGTATCTAGCTTTAGTTAACATCTAAGCTAAAAAAAAGTCATTCTGTAATTAAAAGATATTATCTAGGCTAGAACACTGCCGTCTAAACACAATTTGTGTATCTCCCCTACAATAAAATGTCAGAAAACAGCTGAGGGGGTTGAAATTAACTACCTCAGAAAAAGAAAATTGTCAGAATTGCCCTCTACCATCTATACTACTAATTCAGTGTTGGTATTCAGATAAGCCCTTTAATTAATATGAATGTTCCAACCACAATGGGAATAAACAATCCCAATTTACTGAAATATCTCTTCAATAAAAATAATGGAATAAAAACTAAAAAATTAATTGAATACCAAGAAAATCTTCAAGTTGACAGTGCCTCCCACATGAAATGGTGGCTGTTACACTTAAATTGGCCAACCAGCTAAGTAATCTGTACTGGGTGATAACTAGATCACATGGTAAACTGAAAAGACATTATTTCATATTCTTCCTATAGTTTTTTGGAAATTTTACTCAGATGTTAAGCAAGTAGAGGAGGCAGAAGTGTGAAGTAGGCTATCACCTGGTCTGCAAAAAAGGGAATGTTAGTGAAAGAAATGAGTCAGGTTAGCCAGAAATGTAAGCAGCCAGTGCAAATTATGTAGATAGTCCAAAAATCCTACAGCCATCCAGCCTTTCATAAACCTGGGATTGACCACATGGGAGAAAGTCTACATATGCCGCCTTTTGATCTTCAAGTTGGCAGGGATAAATGGAAGTCTTCTAGATTAGAAGATAGCTATTCATGGGAATGGCTATATACAGTAAAGTGTACAATGAATTAGAAATGACATTTAGAACATGTAACAAGCCTTATATAAACTGGAAAATATTTGTAAGTTGAAACTGAACAAGTAGTACATGTACATTTCCTTTCATTACTGTATTACACTAGATTTTCCCTGACTCGGATACATAAATGTATCCTCTGTTTATGGACTTCACTATATACAGTAATCTGCAAAAATAAATAAATTCTCTTACATTAACTGATTTCCTATTTGGGGTGAAAAGATCAAAGCACATCTGCTATTGTATAAAATATATTATGTACATCATGCAGTTCTGATGTAGCATGGAGATCAGGCTTAAGAGCTGTAAGCAAGACACCTGTGAAGAATGCTTCAAGCAATTTAGGTAGAAACTAGGATCAGTATGCTTGCATGCTATTGCTATTAAATATTTTTTGCAAAATATATTTACATGCAATGATCCAAAACTCTACAAGCCCTTTTTAGTAAATGTAGTTAACTGGTATGTGGGTTTTTAGAAGATCTTCAAACAGCTGGTTCAATCCAACATTTTCACAATACTAACATACCTTGTATTATAAAGTAAACTCCAAGTTCTGGACAGTTATTATAGTCCTATGACAGAGAACTGAGATTGTGGTACTTTTAGTTTCATGGGTATACACATAGTATTCTCATCTTGATATGAAAGGGTTTACAACACAATTCCCCATATATCAAGATGCAAACACAAACTTCTAAGTCTTGTCTAGTTTAAATGTAGTAAAATTGTATTTACCATCCAAGAAAGTGTCCTAAGTTATCTTAAAGAGAAAACAGAGACAGTACAATCCAATTTGAAATAAATCAAAAATTAAACTCTCTCTCTCAATCTAAGGGTACGTCTAGACTACATGCCTCTGTCACCAGAGGCATGTAGATTAGGCTACCAGACATAGGAAAATGAAGCGGTGATTTAAATAATCGCCGCTTCATTTAAATTTACATGGCTGCCGCGCTGAGCCAACAAACAGCTGATCAACTGTTTGTCGGCTCAGCGAGATAGTCTGGACGCGCGGGTGTCGACATCAAAGGTATTTGTCGACCACCCAGGTAAACCTCATCCCAGGAGGCATATTTAAATTTACATGGCTGCCACGCTGAGCCGACAAACAGCTGATCAGCTGTTTGTCGGCTCAGCGTGGCAGCCATGTAAATTTAAATGAAGCAGCGATTATTTAAATCGCCGCTTCATTTTCCTATGTCTGGTAGCCTAATCTACATGCCTCTGGCAACAGAGGCATGTAGTCTAGACGTACCCTAAAACTATTGCACATTTATCTGGCGATACGGAGGATTAATTTTTATAAACCTAGAAACAGTTCTCTGCAACAGTATTTAGATGCAGCTTAGCACTGTTTCAGTTCAAAGCCCACTTTTGTTCCCCACAAAATATTCTGTGTACTGCAATTTAAAGAACACTATTTCAGTGTACTGTTGAAGCTCCATCAGAAGATGAATTTTTGCTTCAAAACAGTCAGCTGCACAATCAGGTAAGTGAAAAAAGTTGTCTATATTTAAAAAGTCTTGAAGATGTAATTCTGTAGCAAACATAGCAATGACATCATGCGTCTTTCTAACATAAGGAAGAAAGTACTTATTTACATTAACAGGCAAAATTAGTTAATGTATGTTTAAAAGAAAAAAACAATCTTATCAGCATATTGTTAAATCTTCTATATAGTAAACAGACCCTCCACCTCTATTTTTTCTTCTTGTGTAATTTGTGCCATTTTACCACAAATATGTCCAAAGGCTCCAGTTTTAACAAGATCATGCTTCAGACTCTCTTTTCTTCTTCCCATCTTCTCCCAAATCACTGTCCTCTGACTGGCTACTGCTAAGGACTACAAATTGTCCCTCTCCGCTGCTCTGACAGGGTCTACTGGAAGCAGCTATCAATCGGCTCTGCTCCTCCAAGTCCTAATTTGGGAGATAGAGAGAAAGGAAGAGAAGAGGAAAAAACATTCACTTCATAGTGAAATCAAATTCCAGTGCCCCTCTGTGTAAGTGGAAATTATATTATTTAGAGCTATAGAGTGGCAATTTGATTAGTAAATGCTTCATAGATAGCAGTTTAAAAGATTCTACAGGAAACCAAAAACTACTTCAGAGACTAGTATAGATTGATTTAAATCAAAGCGATTTAAATCATGATTTAAAGCAGAAAGAAAATCTTGATATAAATCAAATTTAATCTTCTTTTGCATTTGTACTTTTCTGGTATTTCCTAAAAGAAACTGATTTTTCATTTGGTGGTGGTAACCAATAAAAAAGTGTTACTTTACAGCTAAATTAAGTTTTCATGCAAAATTTGGTGCTTCTTTTTGCTAATCAAGAAGGTATAGTAATCTATACGCTTTACTTAAGCAATTAGGTTAGATTTACCTTAATTCAGATTCTTAATATGTACATTTATTATTTTCGAAAATAGTGAATGATGCATTTCTTATTTACTAGATGAATATTAATTTTTTACTTGCAATGTATCACATTCTATATGGATGGAAATTCAAATTCAATTAAATACACAGAAACAATGTTTAAATTTTTTAAATTAACTACAGCTACTTTAAATGCACTGGAGTAATAAAAAAAGTTTATCAAAGCAATTTGATTTATTGAAGTACAGTGAAAGCTTTTTTATCCAGTGTGTTGGAGGAATGTGGTTGATGCTGGTAAGTGAAAAATTCTGGTTAAGTAAGAGGGTGGTGGGCAGGGCTAGGGTTGTGGCACAGAAGGAGGGACTTTAGGTACAGGAGGGGGCAAGGAGTGCTTACCTCAGGCAGCTCCCAACAAATGGCAACCTGTCCCTGTTGCTCCTGGTGGAGGTGTGCCTATGTGGCTCTATGCGCTGCTCTGCTTGTAGGTGCCACCACCGCAGCTCCCACTACCTGTGATTCCTGGCCACTGACAGCTGTGGAGCTAGCGCTTGGGGCAGAGGCAATACATACAGCTGCCTAGCCATGCCTCCAGCAGGGTCAGGCAGAGCTGGCTTTAGGCTCATTCGGCCGATTCCCCAGAATGGGGCCCCACGCCTAAGAGGGCCCTGCTCCCAGGTGCGCGACACATGTGCAGTGCCACACCAGGCGCGTGACGCATGCACAGTACTCACTCCCCAGGCAAGCGATGCATGCGCCAGGCCCCGGGCGCACGGCACATGCGCAGGGCCCTGCCCCCGGAATCGGGCCCTGCGCTTCTTAAAGCCGGCCCTGGGGACAGGTTGCCGGTTATGGGGAGCCACCCAAAATGTGCGCTCCCCACCCCCAGATCTAGCAACCTGAAAGGCCTCCCATGCCCAAAACCCCTCCCCCAAAACTTTTTCTGCATTCAAACTCCCTTCCCAAGGTCACTTCCCACTACCTCGTCCCTACCCCAGTACGTAAGCCCCACACCCTGTCCCACACTATAAATCCTTCATGACTGTTCCTCTGCCTAGAAGCAGCAGGGACATGTGGCTACTTCTGGGGATCCATGTGGCGACCATGCACCACCCAGAGCCTGCCGACCTTTCACCACCCAGACTTTCGATGAAAATTTAGAAAAGCTGGTTTATAGAGCTTCTTGATTAGCATAGAGCCGGATAACATAGATTTTACTACTTTATCTTTAGTGAGTGAATTGAATGGACTTTGACCAAAATGTTCTTCAATATTTTAGAACTACAGTGAAACCTTTGTTATCCGGCACTCTGTTAACCAGAAAACTTTGTTAACCAGCATTGCCCCCGGCCACAATACTGTCACATCTTCAGGCGCACAGGCCTGGCTTGGTTTACCCATGATTGTCTTAACAATTTTTTATTTAAGAAGTACTAATCATCTTTAACTCAAAATAGAAATGTGAGACCAACTGCCTCACACTACAAAACCACTAATATTAAAAACTTGAGTTTTACTATTATTGTCCATTGGTTTTTCTTAGGTTGATGGGAACGTCAGGTAACTGGAATTTTTAGATAACCGGAACACCCTAATCCCTGAGCGTGCCAAATAACCAGGTTTTACTGTAGTAGAATTCATTCTCTCACATCTAGTTTTTATTCATAGACTGAAAGAGGAAAACAGGTTTCCTTGCTTTTTCAAATCCCAGTGGTTTCTGCACTTTGTATGAGCTAGTGATTGAACTGAACTGGTTGACTAAACTGAAATGCAGAAAGTACTAATCAAATTGCCACTCTATGGCTCTAAATAATACAGTTTCCATTTACACAGAGGGGGAACTGGAATTTGTTTTCACTGTGCATCTGTAGAAAAGGCTACTGCTGTCAAAAGCTGGTTTTACACTTCATCAAACCATCTGGTTGTGCTTGACTTCCATCACTAAAACTTGCAGCATTAATTTTCTTTAAAATTTAAATTTTAATAGGCTTTAACATAGGCAATCATGATTTCAAATATGTTAATAGGTTTTTTAATGAATCTATATTTAATTTAAATAAAAATAATTTTAATAATCAATTTTATCCATCTTGGCAGTAGCTAACAATGTGAAGAACAGCTAACAAGAAAGCATGTTATTCTACTAATGTATTCCTATTCCCAACAAACACTAATTTAAATTGATGAGCATTACTGCAGCAGCAGACCTCACACTTAATACAGTGACATTTATTATCTCTGAATTACTATTTACTGTTATAGACCATTTAATTTTGGAGTTTTATTACTTTTTAACTTATCTGAAGTCAAGTAAAATAATGCAACAGTAACTTGGGGGGGGAGGGGAAAATGTTGGGATTTGGTTAACAATATTTTTAGAGTTGCAGTTTGAGTCTGCCCCCAATTGTAAGTAAAAGGTGATCATTTTTCAAAAAGATTAAACTTTTAATGCGATTTCTATCTAAGATGATTTCAAATGCATCATTTATTACATCTTACATTCATGCTTTCTATGGTTATTTCAGTCAGAATGTACGCTAAAATTAAAATATTAAAGCTTGCTTACAGCATCAGATCAACAGATCCATTATTGGGGTAGCAGAGAATGCTTAATGCCCAGGAACAGGCACAAATTTGCAAAGCTGAATATCACCACTGAAAATATGAAGCGGCTAGCCTATAGACTGACAAACCATCCTTGTCCACAAAGAGCTTGGCTATAAGGACAAAGCCAACCATGCAGAGATTTTTTTTAAAAAGCTTAGCTTTTACTAAAGTTTAGATTCAGGAAGTGAAGCAGAAATAAAATTGCTCGGATTTAACTATAAAATATTTCCATAGTCTAAGAAATACAAAAATGTCAAAACCTAAAATTTAGCAATTTAAAATGTCAAATTGACAGTTTCCAAGTAAAATCAAGCCCACAGTGTTTCTTCTACTAATGAATGTGAAGCTGTATGGGGTACAAAGCCATAAAAAGTACCATGAAGGTTAATGAAAACAATATTAGTAATATAAGCAATCATGAGACATACCTTTTCAATTTGCTTTTGTTTACTGAGTTCTTTCTGTTGTTTCTCTTTTACTCTGTCCATCTCTTTTTGTTTTTCTGATGCTCTACGATCCTAGAAAGGTAAACATATGAATAAGAATAATCTTTGTAAATTGGGATATGTAAAACACTGCCACTTTGTAGGAGTTTCCTTGAAATAGTTATATCAGTGTTTGATTTTAAAAATATTTATATCAATATTCTTACTTAAAATCATAGAATCATAGAGCTGGAAAAGACCTCAGGTCGTCATCAAGTCCAGCCCCCTGCTCTAGGCAGGACCAATCCCAACTAAATCAACCCGGCCAGGACTTTGTCAAGCCGAGACTTAAACACCTCTAGGGATGGAGACTCCACTACGTCCCTAGGTAACCATTCCAATGCTTCACCACTCTCCTAGTGAAATAGTTTTTCCTAATATCCAACCTGGACCTCTCCCACCGCAACTTGAGAGGATTGCTCCTTGTTCTGCCATCTGTCACCAAAAGACTGATCTCTAATTAAATGAACAACAAATAATGGATCTACAATATCTTTTACCAATCAAGAATAGTGATAGAAATGTAGCCGTGTTAGTCTGGTGTAGCTGAAACAAAATACAGGACTATGTAGCACTTTAAAGACTAACAAGATGGTTTATTACCAAAGGATATATATATATGGTTGTGACTATTTTCTTCCACTATTTGATCTGAGGAAGTGGGTCTGGCCCACGAAAGCTCATCATCTAATAAACCATCTTGTTAGTCTTTAAAGTGCTACATGGTGATAATTGGGGAAGCTATCTTTGTAATGGGTAAGGTAGTTGGGGTCTTTGTTCAGCCCCCTGCGGAGAGTGTCGAATTTTAGCATGAATGCCAGTTCAGAGGATTCCCTTTCAAGTGCAGATTTGAAAGTCTTCTGAAGTAGGATGCATGTGATTAGGTTATTAAGACAGTGTCCTTTCTGGTTGAAATGGCAAGAAACTGTTTTTTCTTTGTGATCCTGTCTAATGTCTGTGTTTTGTGGGCATTGATTCTTTGGCGAAGTGTCTGAGACGTTTGTCCAAGGTACATAGCAGACAGACACTTTCAGCACATGATAGCATAGATTAGATTTCTGGATGCGCAGGAATATGTATTCTTGATCTTATAACTCACTTGGTTAGGCCCAATAATGGTGTCAGAAGAGTGAATATGTGGACAAAGCTGGTGAAGGGTATGCATGTGTTCATTTTAAACAAAATGTGATTTGGAAAGTGGGTATGCATAAAGAAGCATGCTGTGGCTCACCACCCTAGCAACAGCCTAGAAAAGGCCAAGGGGAGGGGGGTGAACTCAACATGTGGAGTGGAGAAGTACAAGCATGTGACAAACAAAGCCATATATGGAGAGGTTGAATCTGATTGGTTTAGAAGTTTGTGTTATGTAACCTGTAACCATGTGCTATAAAACAGCAAGGGGAGGGGCTCCTTGCTCGAGGGGCTCTGGCTGATTTTAGTACCAGGGGCTCTCCCTTTGTGCACATTGAATAATGTTGAATTGAATTGAATTGAATTGAAGACCCTTGATTCTGCCCAGCACCTGACCCTCTGGGAACCACAAAATCCCAACACTGGCAACGGGGTTTGTTGCAAGGGATTCCAGTTTGGGTGCACCTGTTACAAGTAAAAGTATACAAGGGTGACACTCAACATAGGGCACAATAATCTCTGTTTATAGAGGGTGGTGTCTAATTTTCCATTGTTGATTTGTACTGTGGTGTCCAGGAAATGGATCTCTCGTGTGGAATGGTCCAGGCTGAGGTTAATGGGGGAGTGTAGGTTGTTGAAATCAACCAGACAACTCTCCAACACCACATTTTACAAACCTCTCTTCTCTGATCCCACCTTGGAATACCAAAAGAAATTATTCTGTCTCCTTAAAAGCCTCCCCTACAGCTACTCGGGAACAAATCCACACAAACACCTTCTGACCCCCGACCAGGATTTTTCTATCTGCTTCCCAAGATCCATAAGCCTGGACACCCCGGACGCCCCATCATCTCTGGTATTGGCACACTCACTACTGGTCTATCCAGCTATGTAGACTCTCTTCTCAAACCTGAAGGATAAACTTAACTTTTGTCAATATGACCCCTGCTGTTAAAGTCTGGTCTTTGTAAAGAGGTACGTGCTTGAGCACAGGTATACAAAAGGAGGGGACAGGTGAAACTGGTTTGAACCTGTTGTAAGGCCTGCAAAATGACAGTGAGGGGACAAATGATGATTGGAGGGAATTTGGTGCAAAGGGGCATGACCTGTATATGCATGCAATTGTAAGTGGTCAGTAAAAGGGGGGTAATTACCATGTAAGAAAGTACAAAAGACCTTGCCTTTTGTTTGGGCAGTTGCAGAAACTTTGCAGAAACTTTTTTTTCTCCTGAGTATCCTGGAGGTTTTTGCCCTGGAATGCATTCCTGAATAAAGCTGGTTGCTTAAGAAGGGTGTCTGGAATTGATTTGGTAGGGGGTTTGGGCCCCCATCCGAACCCTCGGATTAAATTCTCCGTCATTTATGGTGTCAGGAGCGTCTAATTTGTCATAATGTATTTCCCATGTGTCATAGAAACAGCCAAGAAATCAGATTGAACTCTCCGAGGCTACATGGAATGCATTCCCAGATTTTGAAACAAGATTATGCAAGCTGAAATGTATTCTTATGACACAAAAGACAAAGCCATATCTTGGAGAAGAGTTAATATAATGTTGTGTTTATTTTTGGGAAGGGAACAAAAGGAAAATGACCAGGAATTTACCTTTTTATTGATTTCTGCAGTGGGGAAGAGACTAAAATCACTAACTACTCATAAACATGTTACAATTAGTAGCTCTATTGCCCCTGAGACAAAATACAATACCGTTGTTTTGCATCACAGTAGTGGTTGGGTCTCTAAGTCACCACAGGACATACCACACTAATACCAACCCTGGTACTTTCCCTTGCAACAAACCCGGTTGCCAGCTTTGTCCACATATTCACTCTGCTGACACCATTATTGGGCCTAACCAAGTGAGTTATAAGATCAAGAATACATATTCCTGCGCATCCAGAAATATAATCTATGCTATCATGTGCCGAAAGTGTCTGTCTGCTACGTATCTTGGACAAACGTCTCAGACACTTCACCAAAGAATCAATACCCACAAAAAAGACATTAGACAGGATCACAAAGAAAAACAGTTTCTTGCCATTTCAACCAGAAAGGACACTGTCTTAATGACCTAATCACATGCATCCTACTTCAGAAGACTTTCAAATCTGCACTTGAAAGGGAATCCTCTGATCTGGCATTCATGCTAAAATTCGACACTCTCCGCAGGGGGCTGAACAAAGACCCCAACTACCTTACCCATTAGAAAGATAGCTTCCCCAATTATCACCTCTAATACCATTAACTCACAGACAGCTACCCTTCCCCCCCTCTAATATCATTAACTCACAGGCATTCACCTTCCTCTCCCCCTCCCCCCGCATACCCCTTCTGTTCTGAAATGTGATTTGTCCTTTTCATATGTGTTCATTTTTTAAATTGTATCCTTTGGTATATATGGTTGTGACTATTTTCTTCCACTATTTGATCTGAGGAAGTGGGTCTGGCCCACGAAAACTCATCATCTAATAAACCATCTTGTTAGTCTTTAAAGTGCTACATAGTCCTGTATTTTGTTTTACCAATCAGTCTTAGTAGAAAAGGTATTAAATCTTTATTTATCACTTCTTGGCGAGTTTAAATGGCACCTAAATACTATGCAGTGGGCTCTTTAGAAATTCTTAATCTGTAGATTGCTGCTAGGCATGCAGTACTATTAGCTATTTACTTAGCATAATGAACTATATGTATACACTCGTGTGAGTGCAACCCTCCCCCTTTTCTCCTACTTAAGAATCTTACCAATTCTGCATGAAAAGCAATCTGTTTTGCCAGTCCAACAGAGTCACAAATCTAAATATAAACAAATTGAATACTCAGAAATTATGAAAAATTAATATTCCTTTAAAATTAAGACAAACTTCCACAAGTTCAGAAAGACTGTGTGTATTAAAGAACTTTTAGATTCTTGGACTGACAGCCAATTAAAACAAACACACACACACACACACACACACACACACACACACACACAAAATTTCTTCATACAGTTTGAAAGAGCTAAGATCTTGAAATCCACATCAGATTTGAAACAAGATAAAAGTGTAAGTAACATGGGGAATACCTTTTCCCCTTCATTGTTTGATTCAAATATATAACAAACAGATGTTGTATGACTCTCAACTCTCCCTCCAGAGGACCGAAGTACAAATCCAAAAAGGCGTTTATTTTCCTGGTGTGTAGTGTACAGGACTACATTTGGCAAAGGAAACTGTCAAAAAACAAGAAAATAATAGGAATGTAAAGTTTGGTTTATACATCTTTAAATACCAGATACCTACATACTGTAGCTTATTAAGATAACAAAATAAATGGACATGCTCGGTGGAAAGTATTTTTATATCTAGATCAGTGTTTCTCAAAGTAGTCTGCAGATCAACTCTGAGAAACCTGTTCACTGGCTGATGGGGTCTGTTTATTTTCCAGCTCCACAGCCACAGAGCCTGGGGGCTCCCACTGCCTCCAGTTCGCCTTTTGCAGCCAAAGGGAGTCGCAGGAAGTGACATGGGCTGGGCCACCACTTCCTACGGCTCCTTTTTGCTGCAAACAGTGAACCGGGGCCAAAGGGAGCTGTGAGGTTCCGTGGCTGCGGAGCCAGTAAATAAACAAACCGTAGTGGCCAGTTAGCAGGCTTCTCAGAGTGGATCCGCAGACCATTTTGAGAAACACTGATCTAGATCAAATTGCTTGATAATGCTTTTGACATTGAAGCAAACTGAAACAGAGGTTATCAAAAACATTCAATAAACAAACACATGCAGATCTTTCAAAAACATACATTATGTAAAGAGTAGTATGGAATTTGCATACAGCAAAATGTTAGTGAGCTTTGAGTTCTGTGTGAGCATATGCATGCATACATTTTCTGATACTCCACTCTTTTATACAAATTCCTTCTGGGTTTACATTTTCAATATGTGGTCTCAGATCAAGAATGGATTGTTTTTTGAAAACCATGACCAGAATAAAATTAGCAATTTTGAGTTATACAAGAGGAAGGAGCTGGGAAACCCACACACAATTTTTGTATTACGTTCAGTTGACATTTTTAGTACTTCCATAATTTAAAAAGGCTGAAGTGAGAAATTTCAAATTTGGGTTGCTGTCAAGACTTTATAAAAGACGGAAAACAATCCAAGTTTGAAGAAAATAGTTTTAAATTAATTTTTAAATTATCACTATTCAAAGTTAAAACAGTCACACTGCAATTTTTTTAAGTACCTTTTTTGGGGGCCCTAATACTAAAACAGTTTAGACCACTGAGCACATGATGAATTGTCTGTGTCACCTTTAACAGCTTACAGCCCTAATACAGCTCTGCACTTAAGACTTTAGAGCTAATGAATGCACAGGTGCTTTTAGAATTGAGTTTTACATACTTCATTGATAAAGGAGTCCTGAAAGTACTTATGTATAACTTTTAATTCTTTTCAGCTCTTTAAAAAAGACTCTAAAAAATCAAATGTGAAGCATTACTGTTTATATAATAAAAACTAAAAAAATAAGCAAACAAATCAATAATAAAAGTTAAGGCTGTTGCTGGAATTTTAACTTGGACATACTGAATATATTTTATGTGAAGTATTCCACTAATTTCTTTCAGAAAGTAAAACAATGCTTTGTATTATTAATTTATGTGGATAAAAATAAGTTGACCATAAGGCATACAACATGGCTTATTTAATATGTTAGAACTGTCACATTTGAATTTCCTCAGTCATGTAATTGACCTTTCAAACTTTAATGTTAATGTCTGACTTAGTACTACTCTTTACACAAACCTATCTTCCTAATTTGACTATACTCTTGCTATTTCAAATAATGAAAAAGGTACTTTTTGAAATGTTTATTTAAACTAATTCATCACCCAAAACAGTGTCACTTAGACATAATTGAGAAAATAACCTAGTTTTTGTAGGAAATTATTTAGAAACCTTATTACACAGAATCACTGATATTTAATAGAAGGAAAATTATAGTAAAATAAAATTACACAAAATCTGAAAAAAAGCACTTAAAATGACTTACCCTAAGCCTTGTAACTTGTGTCTGTGGATCAATTAACCTAAAAATGTTAATTAAACAAATCACAAAGTAAATTTTACTAAATTGAAGGGGGCATTTCAAAACACTTATGGAAGTCAACTTCCGTAGAATTTAGGAGGAATACTTACTTTAAACAGTCACAACTGACTAATAAATGTGATTCAGTCATCCTGAAAATGTTATGGATAGCTCTGGCTGCTAGTATTTGGCGCATTGTTTCATAAACAACATCTGGACTTTCATCAGATTTAACTTCCATGGAGCCAAGGAATCTTACAATAAATAACTGGTGAAGAATGGAATCTAAGACAGATAAGAGTATTTAATAAGCAGTACCAACCCATTTCTGGGTTTTCCTATTTAAACATTACTATTTCCATGTGTAATCACAGAAGAAGGATTTCTATGTTAGTAAAATTTTATAAACAAAACCTCAACTAATCACACTAATTAAAAATCATGCTTCCAGAATGTATAAATGACAGAAGCAGATTTTCAAACAGCAAGATACATATATTTCTACCAAGTTTTTCAATTAGGCTTAGCGAACATGAAAGACTCAAACAATTAGACTTTCAGACTATATATAGTCTGATCTGATGCAACATATACCATTGCAATACAGTTATCCAGAAATGGGTGCTGAGCTAATTATCTTATAGACATCTGCTGATATAAAAGTCAATGTTATAGCTTCTATAAAAATAAATTTAATTTTAAAGAGTATCTCTATCAAGAATATTTTGTACTTAAGTGAAATCCTGTTTTACCTTCTGTTTCAGATTTTTTGCCTCCAGATTCACCAAATGGGTTTGTACGTCTATTAAAAAAATTAAAACATTAAACCAGAAGTCAGACTGCAAGAGCCATTGACATATAACCTAGTCTCATTCTGCATCAAATAAATCAACAAAGAATAATTTCACAGATTGGGGTTGAAACTGATAGTAGTCCACCTATGAGTCCTAAGAACAGACTTACTAGATGTAGGTTTAAGACACAAGCTTCTGCATCCGAGTGGAGAGTGCAGATCTAGGGAAGAACTTTCAGGTGGTATTGTCCCATGGTTGTGGTAGGAATGCAATTTGAGGTTGCGGTCAACATTAAATACAACCCCAATGAGTGACTTAGTCTTGTTAATTTTTGAAGACATGGTTTTAAGGGATAAAGTCTCACTGAACAGCTTCAAGAAGTACAGCCAAAAGCTAGTCCTCTAATAAATCAATTGAAAACAGCACACCTTTCCTCACTTTTTCAAGCTGTTGCATTACTCATTGCAGAGAAGTCTCTGGTTTTGTCTCAAATGCAGCTCTCTGAAAACATCCCTGGGGTTTTACTCCTAGAGGGTCAAGAGAAACGTGGCTATTTCTGATTCTCAGCAGAAACATAATTACTATCAATTATAATACAGTGAAAATACTCTAGGCTTCTAATCTACATTTCTCAAGAGAAGGAAAGCAATGTAAAAAGAAAATTTGGAGCTGGGAAACTAGCTGAAGCTCTCAAAGAGAATGGAGAAAGGAATTTCCTTGGTTTCTTGGCATAGCTGCAAACTCTCAATGAGGACAGCTGAAAAATAAGAGTTAGATTTAATTTAAGCTTTTACCAGGAAACAAGTGAAGTTGTCACTTTTTCTCCAGTGCCTGATATTGTCCTAAAATTTACTTTTAGAATAAATCTAACATTTGCTTGGATATCTAATATAGACTAAAACTCTGTCTTATTTATCTGTGTGACTTATAATAATGAAATGTTAACTTGAACTAATCAAAAGTGTTGTGTGAACTTTGGATAATCGCTGAACTAAATAAACTCTGAACTAAAGTCTGCATGGTAAAATATGTATAAAACAATAGCGAGTCTCCAAAAAAGATTGTTCATCTATTCAACTATACCAAGGAAAGTTTCCATGGCCGGACTTTCTTGGGGCTCAATTTCTGTCCCTCAAAATCAGAATAGTATGGACAGTAGGAATGTTAAATATCGGTTAACTGAATAGTCGATTAACCCTGTGAATTCTTATCGGTTATTCGACTATTCCATAGTTGCCTAGAGGCAGGGCCAGCAGCCAGTGCGCTCCGACTCCACTCCCAAGGAGACTCCTGCCACTCCACGCTGCTGCCTCTGTATCAGCGGCAGCAACGTGGGGTACCAGGTGGGATTTGGTTCACAAGGGGAGCCAGTTTAAAAACCAGTTCCCCTCACAGACCGGCTGCTTGTCACCCCATGCTGCTGCCTCTGATACAGAGGCAGCAGCACAGGGTGGCAGCAGCACCTGTCCAAGGGAGGGGCTGAGCTCCTGGACCCGGCACAAACTGGAACTGAACTGGGCTGCCTGCCTGCCAGGCTCCTATTACACTTCAAATGCAGAGCCATAGCAGGGATAGGTCCTGGACCCGGTGCGAGCCAGGACTGAGCTGGGCTGCTTGTCAGCCTGCTAAAAATGTACTGGCAGGTTGGGGGGGAGGGGAGGTGAAAGAGCAAAGCATGTAGTCTATTGCATTAATCTATAAACTTTTGCTTATCTGTTTATTGGTTAATTGACTACACTAATACATCCCTAATGGAGAGAGTAAATTCTAAGCTTTCTGTAGTCTAATACAATGTTTTTAAAAAAATCACCTAATAGATGTACATCATATTTGTACCTGAAACTCAGTGATGATTTTTTAAAAGAAGTATTGTGATAATGATACTAAAACACATAAAGCACACTGCTAACCCATACCAAATGTAGTAGGTTTTTTTAAAAATCTTTTTAGGGAACTACTGTCTGCTTCTCTAGATAATCTCTCCCACCTGGGACAAAATCATAAATTTATATGACAGAACAATTATCTTTGATACGAGTCTTAGATACACTATTATGCTTTTCATTGCCTAAGCTCAGGTCTTTTGAACCTATTTTAATTAAGATGTTGTACAAAATCTGATTTTAAAGCCTGATTATTCTTCTATCACAAAGGGAAAATGAAACTGTCAAAAATGAGTTGAGTGGAATACTGTACATCACATCATTTTAACTGTTTTGTCTGTGTGAGCTCTAAGTTGCTTCAGTCTCATAGTAGGCATTCCAACATGGGATCACACAACACACAACTTAAATATTTTTGTAAAAAAACTCTCATAACTGACTGAAATCACACAATATTTTCAGTTTCCCTCAGATGAATGGGATCTACTATCAACAAACAAGATTAATACCTGAATTTTGTACATACAGTTTTGTAAAGGCAATGTATGGTATCTTATCAGGCATCTAAATTTGAGTGGGAAAATAAAATGAACAAAAACAAGCAGGAAAAAGAAGCTGTTTTATATTTTGGGAGAACTGTAAGGATTCTCAACCTGTAAGATTACTCTAGAAGCCTAGATCATTTTCACTCACCTTTTAGTTTAGGAAGAATGTCATCAGTATGCCATCATCATCTGGAGGCAGGGCTACTAAATTTCTCTTGAGTTTCCAAGAGGAAATACCCAAGGTGCCGAGCAAGCAAGCAATAGGAAAGGAAAATATACTTTTTAAAACCAAATGATTGTGAAGCATCAGCGGTTAAAACAGGGTGAGAAAAGCTGCTGCAAAACTGAAAAAAACTACATCTTGAATCTACTGCACTAAATACTTTATCACAATTATGTGTGATAAAAATACTGTTCTAGATGTACTTGTGACAAAAAAGTCAATGTAAAGAAAATATACATGGACAAAGTTGCTGATACATGCTGATAAAAGCTGGATACATTTAAAACAGACAAATACAAAATGTTTCTCCCACTGCTTCTCCTACCTGCCCAACTGCCCTGAAGTTTTTGCCTGACCAGGCTGATCTTCACTAACTGGAGAAATTATATCAAATTGTATAGGTGTGTCAGGAGCAACAAGGGAATCCAAGGAAAGTGCTGATAAAGCTGCTGATTCAGATCCCAGAGACCCAGAGCTATTAGTGCGAGCTGTCAGAGGACGAGAATGTCTAAACATAAAACAAAAAAGAGATATAAGCTGACAGATAACAAATGACTCTATTGAGGACATATATGTAATATTATGAAACTTGGGAAAAATAAAACAAGACAAATATTAAAAGAAATTTAAGACAAACAATACTATCAGTTCACAGTAAAAAGAAATATAGTCCAGGTTCAAATTCAATCATATTCTACTTTCTTTTATCACTAATATGGCACCAGCATACTGGAATGTGAAATATCATATGGCTGTATAGTCTGATATCAGTTGTTAAACAGGGAAAATTGAATCAAAATGGTGAAAAGCCAAAAAACTAGCCACATGGCTTAAAAGGTAATGTAGAAAAACTAGATATGCTGCTAGATCTTTTATTTATTAATAATGCATTAAAATATCAAAAACATATTTGCCACATTGTCAAAGAACTTATTTTTATCCTATTAAAGACTTTAGAAGTCATTGTAGACAACTGAAACCTCTTCTGAAAATCATTTTATTTAGGATCCTTAACCAGACACCAATTAGAAATGTGCTTTTAAAGTGACCAACTATTCTGTAATGTACATTATTGGCCGCATGCTCTCATGTCTCTGTTGAAAGGAAGGAGATGGGGTGACAGCCTCCAGAGCGGATTGATTTACACGTGCAGCAATTTCCTAGATAATTAAAAGAAAAAAAGTAACTGAAAACATTTTCTCCAAACTCAATTTAGAATTTTCAGTTTAAGTTTTATTCACATGCAATAGGATAAACTATACATGGAACCTATCAATCACGACAATAAAACACTTCCATTAGTTTTTCTATCCTCTTCATGCAGATTTCCAGCTGGGTATTTTTCATTTTACACATTTGTTTTAGGATGCTGTGAATTCCAATAAAAGACTTTTGGTAGAGACAATATAAAATTGCCGAATTAAGCAAACCTAGTGGGAGGTACAGAGGGATAACTGCTGCAAAAAGTCATCCAAAAGGATGCACAAGATCCATCAGTTCACTTACAAAATAGCAATGTGTGAAAATGCAGAGAGAACTTTGTATTTCTCAGTAACCTGTATATGAAATTTGAGCATATGTAAATATTTGTGATTAATGAATCATGTCAGATACACATTATGGCATTGTCACCTTTTTTCAGAAGGTAATGGAGCTTGTTTATTGCACTTCTGAAAGCTCGATTTCTTTTACAAAAAACAAGGCAAAATTTTCAAATGAACTAGAAAGTGTTTAATTGTAATGATTACACTAACTATATAATACACAGAATCTTGCTAACAGAGGAAATTTTTGTGTATTCAATTTTTTAAATGAGGCATGCAATTATATTAAATGGGCTGTCTCCAACACCAACTGTTTGAAAAACAATCCTACTATAATAAAAGTCTGGTTATTTCAAGATAATAACTTCTGCTTTCCATGAGGAATAACGCTTAATTCCAAACAGTGGTGGTATGGATGCTCCACTGCTGCTATTTCGAAATAGCTACTCCCTGGAGTCATTCAAAGTAATTACTCCCCCGTGCTTCCTGGGGCTCTATACTGATGTAGTGCATCCACATTAAGTAAGCCTGCCTCAGACTAATTTCAAGGCTTCCCTGTAGAGTGAACATACTTTTCAAAATAGTTATTTTGAGAGTTATTTTTTCAAAATAAGTTATTTCAAAATAATTTCCTAGTGTAGATATGCCCTCAGAGGCCTTCTTTGAAAAAATCTGGCTACTGACGTCCAAAATTTAGAGTTTGCATCCTATAACCCAAAACTGGCTAGCATCGGTCAACACAAAAGACATCATGAATTTTGTCCTTGGCTTACACAGATCCCTATGTGGATACCAAAATTTTGTATCTGCATCCACATCTGTATCTGTAAAAATGAGCCATGGATATCTGCATCCACATCCGCAGATGAAGATACCAACGGACATAATCTGTGGATTTTCAGGGCTCTTTTTATGTAACATTTGGACATAGCCTTCTTAATGCTGTAAAGATGGTTCGTGAGAAGTTTGTATCTGTATACTTTCTTTCATGTTTATCTCCTTCAAGAAACTAATCCTGTTAATTCCATGATAAAAGCACACATTATTACATATTTAAGATTAAATAATATTTGACTGAAGTTAGGTGTGCAACTCCCACTGAAAGTCATTGAGAACCAGGCATCTAATTTCCTTGATACCTTTGAAAAGCCCACCCTAAACTTTCATTTAAATAATACTTCCAGAGCGTTTCTCCTTCAAACAGATTTCATTAAAGTACTGACATTATGTGATAGCAAGAACACAAAAAAGCAATATTGTACTTTAAACTCATGAACTGATCACATTTATTCTCAAACCCAAAGAGCTAAAGTCATGCCTGACTTCAGTGGGCACTACAAGGAAGAAGCATTTGTTCAACCAATTACTCTAATTTACTAAGATTTTGGGTGTCCTCCAAAACCTCTGAATAACAAGAATTATATTTTGCCATCTACTGAATAATCAACACCAATCTGATTAGCCCTATGCATGGCTTCCTTCCTATACAGTTACTATGCTACGTTACTCTGGAAGAAGTGTGTATTACTTGCTTATAAACATTGATAATGCTGCTAATACACACACCGATTTACAAAACAAAATTACATGTTTCCTGCTATAAAAAGCTTGCAGTCTAAGATATAAGAAGCATTCAACTTAATTTTATACTACAGGTTGACCCTCTGCAGTTCAACAGCCTGGGAATCTGACCAGTGCCGAACCAGAGAATTTGCCAAACTACGAGAGGTCAATATTGTCTAGAAGCATGACCAATACTTACACTACTTACTGAGCTCTTAGAAAACATGTAGAGGTAAATTAGACCTAAATACAGCCACCAGTCCTAGCTCTGTGTTCTGTGCTGTTAAACAGACTTTATAGGACTGCAGGAAAGTTGGTCACACCCATCAGAAATAGATAACTGGCTAACTAAAATCATTTCAGACCATGGATGTTGTCGGACCAGAGAGTGCTGGACTAAAGAGGTTCAACCAGTACAAAATCAGATCTAAGAAATCTCTTTAAATGAATATGTATCAAATTTAAATGTATTGCTTTGAGTTAGTTTTCGGTATTATAAAATAAATGATCAAAGTTACCTCAGGGTTTTCACTTAGATATATCTGTTTAGAGATGTTGTTTATTGTACATATCCACTAAAAGAAAAAATAAGAAGCATTAATAAGTATATCATAGTTTTAAAATTCTTTTTAGATATCTTAACTATTTTCCCCACCACCTCTTCGCATTTAATGTATCTTTAAGAAGTGACACACCAGGGCCTATGTATTTCACTGAATTTGCTATGAAATTCACTCCAAATAGAAGAATTTGCCTCCAGAATATCAGTTATCATTAACAAAAATTCTAGAAAGACTGTAAACTGATGGAGCAGCATCTTCTAGAGACTGCTGAAAACTGTGGCTTTGAATTGTGAAAAACAATTGGTATCCTGTGAATTCCATGATTGCATGGCCACAAAGTTATGTACTTTATTTTTCCCAAGATGCTATAACATGTAGTATGTCTACGATGAAATATTCTATTTTATTGCAACCAGCACTGGTATTTTGTTTTCTATCTCTCTGCTTTATTGCAACCTGCTTGCTGCTGCCTTTTATTTATCAACTTTGCCCTGCAAGGGGGAGTAAATTGGATTACAATACACACTGCCTGAACTGTTCCATGGAGCCCAAGTTATAATCCACCTTGTTGCTAGAAGTGTAGTACATACAAAGTTCTTCTGCAATTGACCACTACACCAGCATGGCACGGTGCAGAAGCAGATGCTCCAGCAGCTAGGAAAATGAGCTGCAGAAGCTGGCTACAAGCTCCCCCTCATGTCTTTGGCATGCAGGGGGAAACGGTTATGAGTTCAGATGTTGGAAAAAGTGATGGGAGCTAAGGGAGCAGAGCTGAATCAATTGGGTGTCTTAGCAAAAAACTCTACTGCAAAAAAATAAAAACAAAAAAAACAATCTCTTTAAAAAAATAACTGATTAATTTTACATGTGAGTATTTTTAGCTATGTTTCACAGTAGTGATGATTGCACTCTACATTCAGCAACAATGCAGAGTGGCATGATTTAACTGTCTGTCCAAACTTATATTATAGAAGTCAAAAAACTTACAAATGTTAAGTTTTTTATTTCTGCATCGGGAAATTCTATAATAATGAATGCAAGATAACACATATTTATTTAGCGAATATTTAAAGTCATTCATCAAATTTGCTCTGCAGAGTTTCTGGAAAACCCTAAATAAAGTCAAGAATTTAGTGAAATGTTACTGGTCAATATACTTCATCTTAGTAGTTTTCCAACAGATGCTTTCAGTTTTCTGATCTAAAAGAGGGAGAAATACGCCCAAATGAAATCTAAATTATATCACAGAGTACCTCCTTTGTTAGCTCAGAGTTATTCATAACAATTAGATTTTATGTTTGTAGTACATCAACTAAACAATTTCTATTTTCACATCTAAAAAAACCTTCTAAATTAAAACATTTAGGGAAAAGATGTGAACTTCCATTCATTGGCGTCTGCATTCTTTCTGCATCTGTACTTTAGACACCTGAAAATGTTGGCACTGAATATGAACACTGACCAATTTTCCAGTGGGTTAACCGCATGTATGGGCAACTACAATGCATGTCAGATTTACCTTCCATTTTGAAAGAAAAGTTGTTTTAAAGTGTCATAGGGGGCCTGGCCTCTTGAAGAGGGAATGGGACCAGTTCCCTGAGACTCATTAGCTGTCTCTCAGGAAAGGCTATTTAGCTCACCTGGTTCCATCTGAGGGCAACTCAATTACCTACCAATCCTAGCTATGAAGGGATGTGGCGCTTCACACAAAGGAGTTCAGAGTAGAGAAAGGAAAGGCATCTCTGCAGGCCCTCTCTAGGCTAGAGAAGAGGAACTGCCTGGAATGAGAAAGTTTCAGCAGAGGCAGCCAATGGGAACTACCAAATCCCCCAGATGAAGGGAAAAAACTGTTGGAAGTTCTTTGGGTAGGGCTAAAAGTCCCCTGATAGTGGAAGCCAAGTGCTGCTGCTGAAAATCTAAAAGAACAGTTCTGGGGAATTACCTTGGAGTCAGTTCTGTCTAAAGGAGAGGATTCTGAAAGAACCTAAGAGGCCCACGGATACTGGGCAAAGCCCTGACTGGATTTAAAGAGAAACGCCCGGGAGGGAGGAACACGAATTATGTGGGATTACTGTTTAGCCCCAGAATGGCGAAGACTTTATCACTGGGTAGGTTTGAAGTCTGTATGTTAATAAATCACCTCCAACAAGAGTGGATTTTCACTGAAAGAGTGATCAGTGGCACCTGTATCAGTGCCTTCTTGCTGCAAGGGGGATCAGGCAACCTCAACTCTTACAGAACAGTGAGTGTTGAATGCAGCCAAAAAGACAACAAACATTTGGTTTTAGTTTGAAACATGTATTTGTTTGATCACCCAGCAGAGGGCAGTGAGACATGTAGTCTTCCTAGTAAATCGGGGTGGGCAATAATTTTTAAAGGGGGGGGCCACTTCACAAATTTTTTAAGTGGCCCTGGACTGCCCCAGAAGGGGTGGAGTCTCAGGCAGAAGGGACAGGGCTTCTGCGCTCCCCCACCAACAGACCCTGATTAGCTTGGGGGTCAGGGAAGCATGTGAAGTTTTTGCCCCCCAGCGCCTAGAGAGAAATGCCAGTTGTTCTGAACAGGTGGCAGTTTCTTCTAGATGTCGCGTGCCCCTGGTGGCAGAAGGAGACTTCACACACTCTCCCTGCCCCCAAACTATCAGGGCCTAGGGGCAGGGCATCAGGCTGGATCAACCCACTTGGTGGGTTGCATCCAGCCCGCAGAGTCTCTCTTGCCCATTCCTGTAGTAGATGCTGAAAGCATTAAATACCTTTCTATATTCAGCCTCAGAGCTTGTCAAGGATGCATGATCCTGTGCTTGCTTCTTAACTGATTTCTAAAGCTACTAAAAGAGCATGATATTTACAATATTAATTCTATGATCTTTTGAGTGAGCTCTTTTTAAACAACAAAGTTTGGACATGGTTTTCCTCTTCATTTGCAGCAAGGTACTCTGGATATTTCCTTTGCTTTCTATTCTATACTTAGCGGACCCTAAGTAAAAAACCATACAGTACCCCTTTTGCCATCCCCACAAAAAATGTTCAGTAACACTTAGTTTTCCTTATTGCCAATGATTTCACTGGCTATTTTTTCCTCCCAGTTAAACCTATTGCCCACTGACAATCATTTTTGCTGGCACAGAATTTTTTCCAGGGTAGAGACAATGAGTAGAAGAAATCTTCCGGTCAGTCTTCACTTTTGGGTCTCCTAGGTAACAAATATTTAGTGTCAATAATGATTTATCAGAAAACACCTCTTAACACACACTTGCTATAAGCTTACCTCTTCATAATCTTTTTTACTCTCTGCCTGTAAGATTGAAGATCTGAAAGATGAGAGAACAAAAAAATTCTCAGGCCCACTTATTTGGAAAAAAAGATCCTAAAATATCTTTTTTATCTGGAGGTACATTTTCCCTTTGATATATGCCTGTAACTTGTACTAATAATACAGGGAGCTATGCATATATATTAAATGGAAACTAGATTTAACTGAAGAAACAAGAAATACTATTTCTATGTAAAAATCAGGCCATCATAGAGATACAAAAACATCGTTTCAAAGTTTTTGATAAAGGGTTTTGGAAAGCACTTCATAAAAGCATTTAAAGTTATTCAGATTACTTTCACATCCTTGTGTGCAAGTTTAAAAGAATAACCATGGATAAACATCAAGGCAAGTTATTATGCAGATTTTTTTAAACATGAAAAGTTAGTCTATTATAAAAATGTATAATAATTATTTAAGTGGTCTCATAGGTTAGCAGAATGTGTTATAGCAGAATCAAAATCTTTTACTGTTCAAACGGCAATGGGAATTCAATTCTAACAACATGCTCTATACCACCGCTCTGCTTAATGGTATTGTTCTAAGGTTGAATGTTGGAAATGCAAGAGTACTTTATACTTCATTATCTCTATCACCAATTTATTGCAGAATATTTACATTTCTAATAGAATGCACCATGTACCTGTATAATGGATTTTTGTAATAAGTTATGGTTAAATGTGTTAAAATATGCATATTCTCTTTAGAATGAAATTGCATTACTAAGACATAAGGCTGTGTTCAAATCTTATTTAAAAGTAATTTTCAAGTTTCATCTCACAGATATCACACACAAATCAACAGCTCATTTTCTGAGCATCCAGGACTGTGTTTCATGCCTGACAGTCTAGCCTATAGACATCAGAAATAAGAGGTTACACTTAAAGCTGTATGGAAAGATTTTGATGTTTCTGGTGAATGCTAGATGTTTGAACAGACCATCCCTTAGCAAAAATTGCAACCATTTTTAAAATATGTTTGACATCTCAGTTATTTAGAACTAGACAAACATGAGTAATACTAATAAACATGCTTACCATAGTACACTATATTTATAATGATAAGCCTCTTGTTGTTAGTTAAATTCCAAAAGCATTTCTCCAACAATATATGGAAAGCTCTCTGACATGCTAGCACTCTGAGTCTCTCAATACATATTCAGATTTCAGTGCAGGTGTTTTCGAATTATCCAAATAAAAAGTGAGGTGCACACAGTTTGCATAATGAATAACCTATAACCTATATTTTCATCTAATATAATCACTTTATGGTTATGAAGCTGTTATGGGAATTGATTATTCCAACCTATCATCAGTAGCTTCGTGTGGCTGTTTATGATACGGTGAAGAAAAAAAAGACAGTTTGTACGGTTCATTTTTATAAATAATACAAAAACATACACCCGCTCAAATTTTAACTACTCAAAATTGAAATGTCTTTTTTCCAGATAATAAGCATAGTATCATTTAAGATAACACTATCATAAGAATGAATACTAACTTTTAAGATAACACTATCATAAGAATGAATACTAACTTTTTGCCATCAAAAGATGTTATCTGAAAGCAGTATCTTCTGTCCTCACAGTCCACAGCCATCACGGAACAGTTGTCTATGTCCATGACAAGTCCTCCAGCTACATCACCTCTTGCCTGACTCATTAGGTTTCCACCCTGAGTAAAGTAAAACTGTCTGTCCCAGGTGGAAGACACCAGACCAGTCTTACTAAAACAAGAAAAAAAAAGACTCCGATTTAGTCGAATACATGTTTAAACCAGACTTATAAATTAGAAAAACACGGGACAGATAAGAAAAATAAGACCTCCAAATCTTATGAAAATAAAACCCAAAAGATTTTCACTCAGAGCTAACAATTTATACAACTGAGCTGGTTTCTTCACAATTTGAACTCTTTTACCTCAAATTAAACAAGTTTAAACAGCCTACAGTTATACAGCAAATTATGTAAAACTGATACACTAGCCAACTGTTAGTCATAAACAATTTAATTAGAAGTAAAGATTAAAATAGTTGTGTTTTATATGGATCACAAAAAAATAAAATAAAATAAAAAAATCAACAAATCTCCTTTCTTCTTTACTGGTCCAGCACCTCAGGACCTAACCAGTCCCGGATGAGGGATTTTGCCAAAAGAGGAGAGATCATTTGTGCCTACCGCTGCCACCATCAGCCCCCTACAACCATTGCCTGATTGCCAGCCTACAGGATGGCTTCCCCCCGCTGCCAGCCCCTCCACGCACTGGGCTTCTGGACCCACAAGGCTGCCCCGCTTCCTCCTGGTGTTGTCAGCCAGCTGCACTACCGCATGGCAGCCCTGTAGCCGGGGTTCAGCTGCACAGCCAAGCAGCAGCCCTGCTGTTGGGCTCCAGCCCCGCCGGACAGCCTTGCTGCCATCTGGCCCCTCGAGGCAGTTCCACCAGACAGCAAAGGGACTGCTGGGTTCCTGGTTGCACTGCTGGGCGGCAGCGTCACTCCCAAGCTCGCAGCTTCACTGCTGGGCAGCCCTGCTGCCTCCCAGTCCTGCCTGGTACCAGGTGCCGCCCAGCTGTTCAGCTCCAATTTTGTTATTGGGCAGCAGAGGGGCTGCTAAGCTTCTGGTTGTATTCCCAGGCTTCCAGCCCTGCTGCTGGACTCTTGCCCCACCAATGGACCGTCCCACTGCCTCCTGACCCTGCCAAGCAGTGTCACTACTGGGCGGCAGCCCTGTTGCCAGGCTCCTGGTTTTGTTGCCACAAGGCAGCCCTGCTACTAGGCTCCAGCTCGGTTGTAGGGCTCCCAGCCACAGTACAGCCCTCCACCAGGGACCATAGATGTTACCGGACCAGAGATCCTGGTTTAGAGAGTCTCAAAGAGGTAGCTGTGTTAGTCTATAACTTCTATAACAACCAGTAGTCTTGTAGCACCTTAGAGACTAACATATATATATATATATATATATATATATATATATATTATATACACACAGAGAGAGAGAGAGAGAGAGAGAGAGAGAGAGAGAGAGAGAGAGAGAGAGTGAGAAAGAAAGAGAGAAAGGAAGATGTATTATATAAGGTACAGATAACCATGACTATAATTAAGTTTGCCTGACATTTCATTGTAAGGTCAAAACCCACTGCTCATCTGAGGATCTAAGTACTGCCCAGGAAAGCTTATGATACTAAATATATATGTTAGTCTCTAAGGCTAGGTCTACACTAGGGGATACATTCAAATTAAAATACACAACTCCATCCAACCACACAAATTGCTTAGCTTAAGTCCAAGAATCTTCAGTCGAATTCTGGTGCTGTCCACACCTCAGGAAGTCGAAGGGAGCACACTCCCACTTCAACTTACCTTACTCCTCGTAAGAGCAGGACTACCAGGATCAAAAGGAGCGCCCTCTCAGTTCAAATTAGCATGTCTTCACCAGACCCACTAATTCGAACCACGGAAGATCAACTGCAGCTGCTTTGATCGTCTCTGTAGTGGAGACATGGCCTGCAGGAGCAGGACTATGGCGTCGACGGGAATGCCCTCTCAATTCGAATTCGAACTAGACCCACTGATTTGAACCCTGGAAGATCAACTGAAGCTGCTTCGACCTTCTCTGTAGTGTAGACGTGGCCTAAGGTGCTACAGGACTACGCAGTTTAGAGAGCTTCAACTTGTAGGATCAAGAATTCTTTAACAATAACAATGAATTGTTTTAATCCACTGAGAAGATTTAATTTAGATGTCAAGTATTAATATAACATAGCCAACTAAGGACCTATCACTTTCTGAGACGGGGTGTATCAACCCCGCACTGGCCAAGGCAGAGTTAGCCAGGCCTACTGGGCTGGGAAGACTCCTCCCTCGCAGCCCTGCTGGGCATGCTCCAACTCCAGAGGCAGTATAAAGGCTGCAGGAGCAGCTCATTCTGGGCTGGCCAGGGAAGGGGAAGGAGCTCCTGTCTGAGCAGAGGATCAGTTACCCTGCTGGGACCAGCTGGAGCCGCTGCAACAGTTGCTGCTGCTGTGCCAGCCGAGGCCACTGCACTGCCTGAGCTGCTGCAATCACTGCCACAGCAGCTGCAATCTGCAGTCGTCGCCACCACACCAACCGCAGCTGCCATGCCAGCCACAGCAACTGACACCACAGCCTTTGCTGATCCAGGTGGGGATGCCATTGGCCAGAAGGCCAGAGTAGGAAGTAGCCCAGGTCAGGGAATAGGAGCCAGTGGTGGGAGCCACCCACTGCTGTTAGGGCCCTGGGCTGGGGCCCAGTGGAGCGGGTGGGCCCAGCCCCCGTACCTGTGCACCCCTGAGAGGGGAGCAATTCTTGAAAGCTATAGACTCTGCCACTGGGCCATATTTACCCCAGACGGGGCACTAGAGACTTGGCTGCTGGGCCATACTCACCCCCAGACAGGGGGCAGTAAAGACCAGGTCGCTGGGCCATATTTACCCCCAGACACGAGGCAATGAAGACTTGGGCTACGTCTACACTGCAGGCCTCTTGTGCAAGAACTTTTTGCACAAGAGTTCTTGGGCAAAAAGTCCTTGCACAAGAGCGCATCCACACTGCCATGTGCTTTTGCACAAGAGCATCCATGGCAGCATGAAAGCTCTCTTGCGCAAAAAGGCTTATTCCTCGTAGAAAGAGGAATAACTCTTGCGCAAAAAGCCCTGTGTTCTTACGATTTACTGTACTTTTTCTTGCGCAAGAACATGCTTGTATTGACGCTCCCCAAGTTTTTTGCACAAAAACAACCATTTTTGCGCAAAACCTCTGTAGTGTAGACGTAGCCTTGGCCTTTGGGCCATATTTACCCCAGACAAGGGGCAGTAGAGACTCGGCCACTGGGCCATATTTACCCCCCAGATAGGGAGCACTGGAACTTGCGGGGTGGGGAGACTGATCAATCCGCCCCATAGGGGGCACGGGCAGAGAACCCCGTGACGCTTTCCATCCATTTTATTTCACTGATTCACAGGAAGAGACTGTAAGAGCATACAACCTCTGCAGATCTATACAAGAGGCATATCATAATAAATAAACTGGGTATTGCGCTGATAATACCAAACACTGCAACTTTATCTTTCTTGTTTTGTACAGGTCTTCTCACTTCAACATAAGCTAGAAAAGTTAGCCTATTAAAATAATTCATAGTTCAAATTCAAGGAAGTACTTTAGTTTTTTGCTGCTAACATTAAATAGTTTGATTTTTCTGCCTTTAGGTTTTTGTTGTAAAATTAGTCTGATTTTTATAAAGTTCTCCAAACATACAGACCACAATAGAAACTGGGAACATACAACTTTATAGTTTCAAATAATTTTTAACCAACTGTAAAACCAATAGGTTGTCTTTACATATGTGGAATAACCACATCTCCTTACAGTGGGTAAAAAGCACTCCTTTAAACTGTCTTGCATATTTACAAAAGTCTGTTTAGTATCATGCAAAATATGTTTTCCTTATATTTCAAAAGTACAAACCCTTATTCTACTGTAATCCAAACTTTTATCCTAAAGTTATATTTTACATAGATAATGAGCAACATAATATAGTATTAATCTTCAAATACTGACTTTTTATGCAATTGCTATCTAATAAACATATATTGAACATATACATAATCTCTATATTTCTTATGTAGGCACAAATATCTAGGGAACTAAGTTTAATAAAAGAGCATAATTTCTCTAACTGGGTGGAAATCAGGAGGTTTAGCTCTATTCCTGACTAGTAGGTTCTTGTGACTCTGGGGAAGTCACCTGATCTCTCTCTCTTTCAGTGTCTCCATCGCATTAGCAACACATACCTTTCCTTTAAAAATCACTGAATAAATAATGCATAATGTATTAATAGGTGGACCAATTATTAAACCCAGAAATTAATGCCAACTAATCCACAATTCAAATCTATCATGTGAGGATAATACAAAGAAAGGAAGCATGTCAAGCTCCACTGTGCCTTGTTCAGTTTGACCAATTAAATGTTTACAGTCCAATAGACCAGTTCTTATAAATATCACTTTTCTATCCAATATAGGATTTTCTTTTTAAAAGAGGAAAGTTCTTCTGACATTTTTAAATAATAGTAGGTAGCTTACTTCCTTGCATTAAGATAGCCAGCTTTCCGTGTTAGATTTCTATGGACAGGAAATTTTGTTGTGTCAGGATCAGGTAGATATAATGGATCACTGGCTGCTTCCAAGTCTTCTATGGTCTGCTGCATGGTTTCTACCTCACAGTCCATTTCCCTGCGAACACTAATATAGCATAGCATACATGTGTTATTAATAGAGATGATATAGCAGTAGGCAAACTCAAAGAAAATGAGTGAAGACAATATTAGGCATTAAGGATACCATTAAATAAGAACAAATCTTACTTTTGTACACTTGTGCCAATATTGGTTAAAAATTCTTCCAGCTGCTCAGTAAGATTTTCTGAACCCATTTTAAAGAAGTTTATCTTAGAAAACAGAGAGAGAGAGAAACCATTTATTTAACAAAGCAAACAAAACCTATCTACAGGTTGAAACTCTCTAGTCTGGCACCCTCAGGACCTGACCAGTGCTGAACCAGAGAATTTGCTGAACCAGGAGAGGTCAATATTGTCTAGTAGCATTACCAACATTTCCACGTCTTACTGGGCTCCAGAAGACATCGAGGGGTAAACTAGAGCTAAACAACAGCACAGGACACAGAGTCAGGACTGCAGCTAGAAACAAACTTTATGGGGCCACAAGAATCTTGGCCACATCCATGGTAATTGGACATCTGGCTAACTAAAATAATGTCGGACCACGGATGTTGCCAGACCAGAAAGGTTCAACTTGTATTTCTGTTTTTTTAAAAACATGTATTAAATCCAATTGTAGAAACGCAAAAATAATTGTGGGGACATTCGTCCCCCTAAATCTAAAGATTTTGGTACATGTCCTTCATGCTCTCCAACACCATTCAGATAAAATGTAAACTGAATACAGATGTATTATTTTGCTTTACTGCAGAAGATATTTACATTTAGTTCCTACTTCTAAGTTGGAGCTGTAGAAGAGATGCAGTAGTACTCATATTCAAGCACATGGAAACACTTTGATATGGGGGTAAATAATCCTTTTATGAAGAAAGAAAGAGGAGGATAAATAGGTAATGAAATGTTCTGACAAGGTCTCTATATTAAGCTTGTTTCTAATATTATCTTGATTACAAAATAAAATGTGATCTGTTTGAACATATAATTACTTCCACTGCAACTCCACTTTAAAACACACACTTAAAACTGACTGTATGGGTAATTCTGCATAAAAACAAAAGTAGGAGGTTGGAATATTCTTGGCTTGAGTGACATATATGGAATTGTCCATCGATTTCAGTGAGGGTCAAGGTTTCACAAAGTATCTTCACAAAGCAAATTAAATAAAAGATGACTCAAGTTCGGTAGCCTAACCAGTGTTTCTCAACCAGTGGAACGATTACCCTTAGGGGTACTCGAGAGAAGTCTGGGGGGTACATCAACACAACTGAAATTTGTAGAAAACTGAATTTTTGTTTTAAGTTTTACAGCACTTTATTATTTTTGTACTTTTTACACCCAAAAATTTAATCTCCCGCCCTGCTAAGATTTAAGTTGTTTAAACAAATGTGTTGCAATGGTAGAAAAAAACTGTGTGTTTCTGAAAACTGTAGGTACTTATTTTTTTTAAGGGGGTACTTTTTTAAAAAAGGGGTACTTTATAAAAAAAGGTTGAGAAACACTGTAATATAGTTTATGTAGCGTCAAGGGGTAGCCGAGTTAGTCTGTACAGGATGAATTTAAACAACAAATGGTCTTGTAGCACTTTATAGACTAACAAAACATATTGATGGTGTCATGAGCTTCATGGGCACAGCCCACTTCTTCAGATGACTGGAGTTTTGAGTTTAGGATGTTCAGATCCGAAATAAATAGGGGAGGAGGGAGGAGGAAAAAAAAGGAGTGAGGCAGGAAACAAGGATCAGAGGGTATGGAAATATCAAAGGGAAAAACAGGAAGGCAGAACTGGGAATCAGTAAGCACCTGAAGATTAGGTATTAAAATGAAGCCAATAAGAATCAAAGGCAATAACAGGAATCTACACAAAGAGCTGTTTGCACCTTCTTTGAATGTTAGGTTGATAATGTCCCAACCAGTGCTTTTTTTGTTTAAAAAAAAAACAAAAAAAAGTGTTGGTTCTCCAGGGGAAAAGTTCTTGAGCTCTGACTGGAGGTGCTGGTACTGCATCTGGAGGTGCCGGTACTGCGTATCGGGCAGCACCAACACAAAAAAAGCACTGGTCCCAACCATCCCTCATCACCAGGGCTCACCGAGCCGCGGCGAGCCCTGCTCACCAGCCACGCTGTCAGGCGTTCTGCGCATGCGCATCGCCCGAACCCGGCTCTTCTGGGATGTAATCTACTTGCCACAAGGGAGTAGATTACATAGATTGTCGAGCCCTGCTCATCACGACTGAGGCTATTAGCATGAGAATTGAACTTGCGGTTGAAATTGTAATTCCCATACCTCTCTGTGTATTTGGCTAGTAGAATTGTTTTGTGACAAGACAGCCACTTGAAGATCTTTTAAACTGTGATTAGGTAAATTAAAGTGTTCCCCAACAGGTTTCTGTATGTTCCCTTTACCTAGATCTGATTTGTGTCCATTGATTCTTTCCCGTACGGACTGTCCAGTTTGTCCAATATTTATAGCAGTAGGGCATTGCTGGCATTTGATGGCATAGATCAAGTTGCTGGATGTGCAGTCAAATGACCTTTTGATTTGGTAGCTTATGTTGTCGGCTCCAGTGATGAATTCACTTGTATAGATATGTGGGCATTGTTGGCACTGTGGCTGGTTGCAGGGCTGGGTTGCAGGATGCTTATTATGTGGTTGTGTGGCATAGTAACCAGAAAGAATTAGTTTCAGGTTGGGGGGTTGTCTGTAAGCGATAATAGGCTTTTCTCCCAAGACCTCTGAGGGTGAGGGATCATTTTCCAAGATGGGTTGTAGATTGTGTATAATGCGTTGGAGGGGTTTGGAACTGTGGCCTATATGTAATAAGTGGAATTCTGTTATTTTCTCTTTTGGGTCTGTCTTGAAGTACACATCTGGGTACTTTTTTGGCTCTGTCAATCTGTTTTTTTTCCACTTCTCTAAGTGGGTATTTCAGTTTTAGGAATATTCTATAATGATCCCATAGGTGTTTGTCTCTGCCTGTGGGATCGGACCAAATCCGATTGTATTTTAGGGCTTGGGTGTATACAATAGATCGAGAAATGTGTCTGCAATGGAAGCTGGAGGCATGAAAGTAAGTGTAGCGGTCGGTGAGTTTCCGGTATAGAGTGGTGGAAATTTGTCCATTATTTAACTGTACTGTAGTGTCCAGGAAGTGGATTTCTCGTGTGGACTGATCCAGGCTGAGGTTGATGGTAGGGTGGAAGTTGTTGAAATCCTTGTGAAATTCTTCAAAAGTCTCTCTTCCGTGGGTCCATATGATGAAGATGTCATTGATGTAGCGTAAGTAAAGTAGGGTGTTAGGGGGTGAGAGCTGAGGAAACGTTGTTCAAGGTCAGCCATAAAGATGTTGGCATATCATGGTGTCATGTGAATGCCCATGGCCATGCTGCTGACTTGGAAATACAAATTGTCTCTAAATTGGAAGTAATTGTGTGTGAGGAGAAAGTCATAGAGCTCTGTAATCAGATGTGCAGTGGTGTTATCAGGGATGGTGTTTCTGATGGCCTGTAATCCATCTTCATGTGGAATGTTGGTGTAAAGGGCTTCTATGTCCATAGTGGCCAGGATGGAATTTTCAGGTAGATTATTGATGGTTTGAAGTTTCCTCAGGAAATCAGTGGTGTTGTGGAGGTAGCTAAGAGTGCTGGTACCATAGCGTCTGAGGAGGGAGTCAATATAGCCAGATAATCCTGTGGTGAGTGTGCCAATGCTTGAGATGATGGGCCATCCGGGATTACCAGGTTTGCGTATTTTAGGTTTTTCTGGTATTCCTTAGTGGGGTCACAGGAGAGAGGCTTGTAGAATCTGATATTGTCGCCTCCTGTTCATAATCTGTCCTGTTCATGATGACAACAGCGCCTCCTGTGTAGGCCTCTTTGATTATGATGTTAGGATTGTTTTTGAGGCTGTGGATAGCATTGCGTTCTGCATGACTGAAGTTGTATGTTATATGTTGTTGTTTACTGATAATGTCAGCTTGAGCGCGTTTGAGAAAGCAGTTGATGTAGAAATCAAGACTTTCGTTACGTCCGTTGGTGGGGGTCCACACAGAAGCCTTCCTCTTGTGGAATTGGGGGGGGATTAGTAAGGTTTATGTATTAATTATAGTTGAATGTATTAATTATATTGATTATCAAAGAATTCTGATTACCACTTTGTGGATTGACAGATTCTTGTCCAAAGATCAAGCTCAATATTATTAAAATTACTATCTAGTTAGAAGCCTGATGTGCACAATTGCAACACTCACGCTTAGGGATGTGAGCAACTAGTCGACACGCTAGTCGACTAGTCGCTTCCCCCACCTTGCTGCCTCTATCAGAAAGAGGCAGCGGGAGGATGGAATTTCAAAGCAGCAGCGCTGTGTGGAGCCCGGGACCAGACTGTGAGTTCCATGCCACACTGCCAATTTGAAATGTCATGTGCAGCCCACGGCCAGATGGGAGTCCCTAGCTGGCCTGGACTGTATGCGGCGTTTTAAAGCAGTAGCACCACATGGAGCTCAGGGTTGACCCCAGCTGACCCTGGCCTCCATGGGGTGCTGCTGCTTTGTAACACCGTGGGCAGCACTGCTTGAGTCCCCCACTAATCCCATGCTCCCCGCAGTGCTTTCACCCTGGGGCTGTTGCTACATTTCAAAGGTGGAGGTGCCCTTATCAACTAACTGAATAGTTTATGCAAATTGCATTGACTATTTTATTAGCCAATTAATTTAAATTTTACATCCCTACTCACACTCGGAACTCGGTTATATTTCAAAATAATATACTAATACATTTAATAAAGTTACAAACACCAAGTCAGTGAGGTAGATAAAGACTGCAGAATGTAGATCTCCATGTCCATATACTCAAACCACTCCCTGCAGGACAACCTGAAATGTTAGCCATTATCTTCATTATCCCCAGGGGCCAGCTCTCTCCAACTTCCGCAGGCTACATATTGAGAGGGATTTTCTGATTTTCCTTATTTGTATTTCCTCAGACTATTAACATTGAAGGATGCTTATTCCATGGATTAGTATACAGATACTTGTAACTACCATTTCAGCTCATGATCATATTCATCACCTCTTGCATAAGTGGATTTACACTTACTACTTCCATGGTTCCTGTGGTAGCACTTATTGGAACATTCTAGCTCCTACTACTGAGCAAGCTCTCCTTTGTTCCTAAAATATAAAAGTAACCACTGATCTACGCCAAGAGTTAAAGCTTACTTAACCACACATATCCTAGCTTTTATACTTCAGCTAATGTCTACAGGATACTGTAGATTTCTTGTGTTGCAACTATCAGAGGGGTAGCCGTGTTAGTCTGAATCTGCAAAAGCGACGAGGAGTCCTGTGGCACCTTATAGACTAACTGAAGTGTAGGAGCATAAGCTTTCGTGGGCAAAGACCCACTTCGTCAGATGCATGTAGTGGAAATTTCCAGAGGCAGGAATAAATATGCAGGCCAGGATCAGGCTGGAGATGACCAGGTGGATCCAATCAAGGAGGATGAGGCCCACTTCTAGCAGCTGATCTGGAGGTGTGAATTCCAAGAGAACAGAAGCTGCAACTGTGTTGCAACTGAATATAATGAAAGCAGCTAAATATAATGAAGGCAAGGCAGCAACTACAGAAAAGGCAAGCATTCAGTTATAGTTCTTTTTCAAAACTCAGTGAGAGGCAAAAGGTGATTTGTCAAACTGAACACATATATAAAAAGAAATGTGAATTGTCAAACATTATCTTTAATAAATTAGCTACTAAACTGAGCCAGAAATACTGAGAATACCATTCCAGTGCCTCCAGCATTGCAGCAGAGATGAGACTGTGGTGACTGACTGTAGGACTACATCTAACATTGTGCTACAGTGCAAACTAGGGGAGGAGGGAGTTGCAGAGTGCAGACTGTTGCCATCTTAACTGCCCCACATGGACATGACTGGCAAGAACTAAAAGCTTCCTAGTTTCCATGAACATAGAGTCCTGCTTCCAACAGGATTGTGTTAACACAAGTTTGGCACCTTTCAGTTCTCACCAGCAGCATTTACATGGGGCAGTTTGATCACAAGACTTCTGGGAACTCTGCAACTCACACTCCCAATAGTCTGCACTGCAGTGTAGATAATCCCTAAATCTTCTTCAAAATAGCTGCCAAAGGAGAGCGATACTAAAAGCTCCCCCATATCATTCCCTTAAAATGTGCTTCAATTCTAAACTTAAGGAACAACTTCTCATGGAGGTGAGAGGACCATACCACTGCTACAGTCATTCAATGCTTAGCTTCTCTGCATACTCGTCAGTGTCAAAAGTTTCCTCAGTAGTCACCAACAATGCTGTGAGAAAGTTCCTACCAGAAATGCTGTCAAATGTACTCTCCAACCTTATTTCAAATCTAGAGTTTTCAGTGTTTGACATATCCACCTGAGCTTGCATATATCCTAGTAAGGGTTCCAGCAGGGCTATTTTCTTCTTGTACTGAAGAGTATTTAGTGCACAGAAATAATGCATCATGGTCTGATGCTGTTTCTTCTTTGAAGTATACACATCCTCTGTGACTTCATACTTGACCTAAAGAGATAAAATATGTCAAAATTTGACTCATTGTTTAGCATGTGCTTTCTGACAAGTTTAACTATAACCAGCAATAAAACATCATTAAAAAAAAATCCACCATTCACCAGAAATGGTACTTTTTGCCCCATGACTCCTTTTCTAAAATTTATGGAGGAGGAATCCATGGTAACCAAATCCTGCATCCTGTTTTTCTAGCTCTGAGAAGTTCTCTTTTTGACCAATGTAAATGAATATAATATTGCATTCTTAGGCTCATAGCATTTTAAAAATATTACATCCCACTCCTACAATGTTAAAGCAACTTCTGTCTGCTGTGCAAAGACGTCTAACTATTAGATCCTGAACTATCATGCTTTAAGTGATGTTTACCCTGTTGCATATTATTTGTCATTATTGGAGATAGACCATTTTATAATATTTTGCAAAAATGAGGAATCATGTGGCACCTTAAAGTCTCACAGGTTTATTTGGGCATAAACTTTTGTGGGTAAAAACCACTTAATCAGATGCATGGAGTGGATATTACAGAGGATGGGATATATATATATATATATATATACACACACACACACACACACACTAGCATATCAAAAGATGTCATTGCTGATCAAGCATAGGACCAGTGTTAATGAGGACAATTCAGTCAGGGTGGATGTGGTGCCCTCCGAGCAGTTGATGGGGAGAAGTGAATACCAAGAGAGGGAAAACTATCTGTTTTTTCAGATATAGACTAACACGACTACCCCTCTGAGACCATAATATTTTTGTTTACCTCCCCTAAAAAGGCTGCTTAAAAGGTATATCACACAAACCTTTTCGTTCTCTCTTCTTTTTGATAGCCGACTGTATCGGTTAATGGCAGTATCATGATCTAAATAATAAAATATTAAATATCTTATAGTCATTTAATAAATTAAACAAATGTATAAGAGAAAAAATATAGTAATGAACAATATTTAAATTCAATGAAACAAAACAAAACCACATAGGTTTTTAACGTACACTGACACTTGGGACATAAGACTCTCCAAAATTAAAACCTCAAGCTTTTCAAAAATGAAATCTCATGAATTATTTTTGTTCTCAACTATCATTCTACTATTCTAAGGGTATGTCTAGACTACATGCCTCTGGCGACAGAGGAATGTAGACTAGACTACTCGGCATAGGAAAATGAAGCGGCGATTTAAATAATCGCCGCTTCATTTAAATTTAAATGACTGCCGCACTGAGCCGATCAGCTGTTTGTCGGCTCAGTGCAGTAGTCTGGACACTCCGCGGTCGACATCAAAGGCATTTGTCGACCTCCAAGGTATGCCTCCTGAGGTATGCCTCCCAGGTATGCCTCTTCATATGAGGCATACCTGGGAGGTCGACAAATGCCTTTGATGTCGACCGCGGAGTGTCCAGACTACTGCACTGAGCCGACAAACAGCTGATCGGCTCAGTGCGGCAGCCATTTAAATTTAAATGAAGTGGCGATTATTTAAATAATCGCCAGAGGCATGTAGTCTAGACGTACCCTAATTTACCTCAGCTGGAGACAAGTTCTGAACAGTTCTGCAAGTGTCTTCATAAAAATAAGAAACAAAAACTATTAGGAAAACCTTCCCTAAATAGCTATTATTCTTCAATGTGGTAATGCCACAGTTTCAGAAATTGAAAAGTACTTTTATTAATAAAAAAGTATCATTTGCATCTTCTGTTCTATAAAGAAAACAGATTCTATCTAAACCTTGCCCCCTTTATTAGCATATGAAAAGGATTAGCATTAAAGAAATGGACTATACAGTGCATTCTCCCTTCTCTAACACCAATTACATTTTTAAACCAAGATTACCACACCTAACTCAAAAAAATAAATACCATGTATCAATTTTAGGGAACTAAACTTCCATTAATTAAGCCAATACCTCTTTTATAGAGCACAGAAATTCATAAACCAACTAAAACCTAAACAACAATACACTTTTCCATTCTATTTTTACTGTATTTAGTGTTTTGTTTCCCTCAGCTACAGATTTTAACCTCTCTTATCTGGTGCCCTCAAGATCTAACAGATGCTGAAACAGAGAATTTTCTGGACCACAGGAGATCAGTATTGTCTAGCAGCATTACCAACACTTGCACTGCTTACTGGAATATTAGAAGATATTTAGAAGCAAACTTAGATCTAAATAAGAGCTCAGAACACTGAGAACCAGGACTGGTGGCTATAATCAAACTTTATGGGCCCGCGGGAAACTTGGCCACGTTCACGGTAAGTGGACAACCAGCAAACTAAAATCATGCCGGACCACAGATGTTGCTGGACCAGAGAGTGCCAGATGAAAGAGGTTCAATCTGTAGTAGGAACTGCATTAATTTTCAGCTCTATTTTTACTAAGGTATCATAAGTAAGCTATCACAGGCTGGTTGGCACTTTAAAGGGAATCAGACCCAGTGTTGCCTGTGTCAAGTCACAGGGCCAGGGCCCAACAGGGCTGTGGATTCACTTCAAGACAGAGTCAATTAGGGATAGTTGCTTTTATTAATCTCACTACATCACTACTATTGCAGGCTTAATACAACCAAACGATTACACAGCTACTGCAAAATAATCCAAATTAGCAGCATAGGCAAAGCAATGCATATAAGTGAGCAACAGGCTCTTAGAAATGCTTACACCCCTTCAGGTGTGCAGGGAGTCCCGTTCAGGTAACTTTGCACAAGGCTGCAAGGGATGTGGCTCCAGCTGGGGGACCCAGGGCACCTGTCTAGGTCCCTGGTGGAACTCCCAGAGGGGCAGGATCCCCAACAGATCTTATACTTTAGCTGCTCACCGAGTGTGAGGGATTGGCCCAATGCCACACACACTGTTCCCACGGGGTTGAGAGACAGGTCATGTTTATTTATCCCATACAAGGTTCTCAGCTAGCAAGCAAGGGGAGTTTTGGCTGGTGAAGGCTGTCTGATAAAGAACACCTGATGGTTTCGCTAGCAGTCCTCAAGGCTGACCTAGAGGAGCACAAATTTAACTCCTGCAGGCCCACCTATGGCTCACACTACAGCCTGTGACAGAACAGCTACTCTCCAGCTGATACTAATCATATAGGGATCAGATAATCCTGCTCATTTATTATACCCAGCCAGGACAAGGACAAGAGAGCTCAGCTGGCAGGGAAGGCTGAAAAAGGGCATTTGGCTCCTCCACTAAGACCTGGAGAAGGATAATTGATAGGTAAATAAAACTGAAGAAGGGGTTACAAGAGGGAAGTTGGCTCCTGTGGCCTGATCCTGGGAAATGGAGCACTCTCACAGGGGAAAAAAAAAGCTCTGAAAGTCAGTGTTTTGTTGGAGAGCAGGAAAGAAAGACAACGTGGGCCTAGGAGAAGCTGAAGATCCTTTTATGTGGTCCTCAGAACTACTGCCTAAGTTTGCGTATGTCTACACAGCAAAGTTATTTTGAAATAACTTTACCAACGTCTAAACACCCAAACCGCTATTTCGAAATTAAATCAAAATAGTGGAGGGCTTCTTTCGAAATTGGTAAATCTCATTCCATGAGGAATAGCGCCAATTTTGAAATAAGTACTGTGTAGACACTTATTTCAAAATAGGGGGCCTCCAGCCCTTCCCAGGTTGCCCTGGTGGCCACAACCAAGAAAACTCCTCTCCCTCCCCCATCCCTGGAGCCCTTAAAGGGGTAGATTTTGGCCACAGTGCCTGTGCTAGCTCCAAGCCTGCCAGCCCAAAGCCAGCATTCACTGCACCTGACCCAGTGGCCCCAGCATGAGCCAGGCAGCCAGTGCCAGCCAGCCCTCCACCGCTCCCCAGGACTCCCAGGAGCCTGTCAGAGGCCAGAAAAGGCAGGCGCCTGCCTCGTCCAGTGCAGAGATCAGGGCCCTAATTCAGGTTTGGGGGGATGCCTCCAAAGTCCATGATCTCTGCACTAAATGGAGGAATGCAACTGTCTACAGGCTGCCAGCCTGGCCACCAAAGGCCACATGCAAACCCAGGAGCAGGTTCGCATGAAAATAAAGGAGCTGCGGCAGGCGTATGCCAGGGCCACAGGGGGCAGCTCCCAAACAGGGGCAGACCCAGACCCCTGCCCCTATTTTGATGCTGTGGACCGCATCCTGGGAGGCAGGATGGTCTGTGCCCCCGAGGTGGTCATCAACCCTGGGGCAGAGCTTGCTGCCTCCTGCTGCTCCAGCCCCTGCTGCCTCGCCAGCTATCGCTCCTCCTCCCACTCCTTCTCCCCCTCTCACTTCTTCTTCCCCACACCCACAGCGACGCCGAGGCCCCCGCACCTGCAGTGTTGGGAAACAGTTTAGCCGGCGAGGCCCCCAACCCTGAGGCCTGAGCTTCTCCTCCCCCTTCTTCCCCTTGTCTCCCCCTGCCAGCTCCCTCCTCCCAGGTTTCCCCCTCCCCTCCTTCTTTCCCCAGTCTGACCTCAGTTTCATTTCCCCACCACCCCAGTTTTGTTCAATACAGAAGCTTTGTTGTAATGAACACGTCTTTTATTGTACAGCAGGAAAGGGGGTTAGGGAGTGGTAAGTTGAAGGACATGAGGGAGGAATGAGGCACAAGCCCCCAGTAGGGCACACAAGGGAGACTGTTACTGCCTGCAGAATGTGCTGCCAGGCTCGCAGCAACACGTCCAGGAGAAGCACCAGAGTGACCAAGGGCGGCTCTGGCTCCATACTGCAGAGTGCTGTGGTGTCCTGAGTGAGGGCAACCAGAGCACTCAGAGAAAAAATGCTTTGCTGTCCCTCAGCGAGGTAGGCAAGTAAGCAGGGAAACTTTAGAACCAGCTGTCTGGTGGTGGTCCCTTTAAGCACTGGTCTCAGCCTCAGGCAGCAGCCACAAAAGGCCTGACCTGATGCCCTGCCAGAGCCTGTTCTGAATGGCCTTAAATGCAATTCAGCGTCCTATCAGTATGGACGTGCTATTTCAAAATAGCAAAACACTATTTCGAAATGCATTGTGTGTCTAGACGCGTTATTTCGAAATAAGATATTTCAAAATAACACTGTAGTGTAGACATACCCTATGTTAATAATGCCTTGCCAGGTAAAGGTGAAAGTTTTTACCATTTTGGGAAGTTGGAATGAGTAAGCTCTAGGCAGTACTATAGAGGCCCACCATGCCACATAAAATTAATTTATTTTGATTCTAGTTTTCCATAAACCTTTGATAGTCAAGACTGTGACTTTTCAAAGAAAACTAGGAAAATGATGTACACTGAAAATCCCTTTTAAATCACCAGTCTATGTTCTGTGTCAGAAATATTCACAGGAAGTTCAACTTTTAAGATGTACTTACCATTGCTGGCAATTTGGAAAACTTCTTTTAAAGTCAATATCTCTGCAAAGAATATATTTGAATAAGAGGCCAATATCAGAAGAAAATATAGCATTAGTGTTATTGTAGTTTTCTTTTTAAAAGATAGTGATTTCAGCTGCAGAAGATAAGTGGCTTCTGTCTCATGGTCCATTAGAACTTCAAGCACTTCCACAGCTAGGTAACTGTTGTACTCTACTAACACTTCGTTTACATGAAGACACATCTCTCATTAGATGTTAAATGCAATCTCAATTGCAGGTTATGCAGTTTTGTAGTGAGCAAATTTTCAGATGAGAATATGGCATCAGGAACCCATCTTCAATAATCACTACATAGTTAATGGCTACCTTTGAGGACTATGAAAAGTAATTTTACATGTGACTGGAGAAATAACATTGCTTCCAGTTTTGAAAAATAACATTTTGTTTTACTTGGTTCCATAATTACTTTTGCAACCTGACATCACACCTACAGAAGAGGAAAATAATCTTTTCTAAAATCCACAAAGGGCTATGCAGATTTTGGCAGAGCCATTGCTTTTCCTTCAGTGTAGTCTCAACATCATTAGCACAGAATGTCTTATATTAGGAATGTTAGTATTTGTTTTTTTAAACTTCAACTGTATTTGCATATTTGAAGTCAATTGTCAGTAGTCTAGATAGATTTTATTTGTACACTAAATTATCATATTTAGCAACTTCACAGTATTATGTACATCTTATTTTGTTTAATATAAAATACAATGCTCATGAATCAGGAACCGTAAGCATTTGCTACAGCCAACTATCACACCAGCAATGCCAGGCAAACTTCCTTACAAATCCTGACGTATTATATTGTTGGGTTGCCCTGAATAGAGACTGCCAGTCATTACAAATTAATACGATGGTTTAGTGACATGGTCAAACATCCTGGGGTTATAGGCTACAAACTATTTAGATCTTTTAAGTGAAACCTGGGTTTTTACTGGGATAGTTTATGTGAAAGGGCTATTGTAAAAAATAGATCTTGAACTATTTATTTGCAAAAAGAAATTACCATATTTGTTGACGACATATGGTTAATTCCTTTAAACAAAAATAAAGTTTTGAAAAATACCTGTTTGGTAGTTCTGAATGTCAATGATTTACCTTAAAAATATACCAAGTTTGAAAGAGCTGGAGTATATTCATGTGTAAATTAAGTGATGTAGCCTTCAGTTAGGTAGAGCAAGAGCTGTGAATAAAAAACAATTATTTGAACCAGTTTGACTACACTACCTTTTAGATCTCTTTCTTTAAACTGAGTAATGGGAAACATCATGGCATCAGCTAGTTGAGTTGAAAGTACTGCATGACAAGAGCTGAGCTGTAAGAGGGGGAAAAAAGAGTGAATAATCAGCTAAGTAAGTAATTATTGGAAAATATTACTAACGGCAGTTCTGCTTGGCCTTAATAGCCTTCATGAACTAAGTTGCTTTGCTATAAATTTCACTTAGAGATAACAAGCAAGTCTTTAAAATATCTTTCCTTACCTTCAGCCATGTTTGCAAACCACTTAAAGCTAAAAAGGACATTCAACATAGAGTTCTAATTTGAAATGTATATGTTAAAAAGTGAGTCCCTCTCAGCCTTGCAGTTAAGAGCATGAAGCACATGTTGTAATACCAAAAGGATTTTTTTATTCAAGTTTTGTAGGTCATCTTTAGAACATAAATTACACGCTGTATATGTGTGCATATGTAGGTATATTTTATATATGTGTATCTTTGTATCTACAAGTGCATCTACACAGCACCCTAAACTCAAAAAAAATACACAAAGTGCATCTCTTATTCTATTTCGAAATAGAATCGAAATAGAATATTTTGAAATTTGGCACATCTACACAGTGCCAAATTTCAAAATAACACACTATTTTGAGACATCCCTTAACCCTCGTGGAACAAGGGTTACAGGAATTTATTTCAAAAAATATTTTGAAATAACATGCAGCTTGTTAAGACATGGGGTAGCTATATAGTTGAGCAGTGTAGACGAACCCTAAGTGGAATAATGGCAAAGCACACTGAGATCCTGCAGATTTGTGTTATAAAATAGCTCAGTATGGAGAAGACATAATGATGTTTAGACAACAAATGATACACACAGCTTTTTAGATCATAGTAATATAGATCATGAAATGAGGGTTACAGGGACATCGGAATAGCAATTTTGAAATAATGGCCTGGTTTAAAAGATACGGAATAGCTATTTTGGGATAGCGCTGCAGTCTAGATGTACCCTTCCAGACCCCGGAAGCCCAGATTCTCCAGAAGGCTTTCAGGCAAGCTGACAGTCAATTAAGTTCGGTTTTATCAGAACCTTGCTTGTGATTCATTGGAGGACTGAACCACACATGCAAAGCATTTTGGGTCTTATGAATCTGCGTTTTCTAACAAAACATGCGTGACGCTGTACGGAAGATAGGTCATTTATAATAATACTGATTAATATAATAATGATACAATTATTAAGCCATCTAAGATATCAGTGGAAAAGTTATGATTTACTAAATATGATATGATAAGCTTATTAATATGAATGTCTCATCTTTATATGGTAAGTTATAAATACGTATGGTATATTAGTATCTTAGGGTATGTCTACACTGCCATCCTAAGTTCAAACTAGGGTGACTAATGTAGGTATTTGAACTTGCAAATGAAGCCTGGGATTTAAATATCCCGGGCTTCATTTGCATGTTCCCGGGCGCCGCCATTTTTAAATGCCCCGTAGTTCGAACTACCTGCCCGTGGCTACACGCGGCACGGACTAGGTAGTTCGAATTAAAGCTCCCAATTCGAACTGCCGTTAAACCTCCTTGCAGGAAGAATAATGGTAGTTCGAATTAGGAGCTTTAATTCTAACTACCTAGTCCGTGCCGCGTGTAGCCGCGGGCAGGTAGTTCGAACTACGGGGCATTTAAAAATGGCGGTGCCCGGGAACATGCAAATGAAGCCCAGGCCATTTAAATCCCAGGCTTCATTTGCAAGTTCGAAAGCCTACATTAGCCACCCTAGTTCAAACTAGGGTGGCAGTGTAGACATACCAAACACAGAGCACATGTCTGAGGGAGATACCCAGACAGATTAGCATCAGCATTATCTCGCTTGCTCTATGAGCTCTCAAAGGCAATCAACTATATAATAAACCCATTGAGATACTGAGACTATGCCTATGAGTAGAGCCCTACCAAATTCACAGCCATGAAAATCTTATCACAGACCAAGCAATCCGATCTCTCACCATGAAATCTGCTCTTTTGTGTGCTTTTACCCTAAAGTATACAGATTTTACAGGGGAGAGCAGCATTTCTCAAATTAGGGGTCCTGACCACAAAGGGGGTTACAGCAGAGTCATTAGGTTATTTTAGAGAGGGGTCACAGTACTGCTACCCTTACTTCTGCATTGCCTGCCGAGTTGGGTGGCTGGACAGCAGCAGCTGATAGTCAAGCTCTGAAAGCAGTACCCCACTATAGCAGTGCAGAAGTAAGGACTGCAAAACCATATAATGTCACCCTTAGCTCTGTGTTGCTGCTTTCACAGCTGGGCAGCTGAAGAATGGTAGCTGCTAAGGGCCCAGCTCCACAGACAACTGTGCAGAAATAAGAGGGGACAGTATCATACCATGCCATCTTTATTTCTGCACTGCTGCTGGCAGCGACCTTGCATTCAGAGCTGGGCTTCTGGTCAGCAGCCCCTGGTCTCTAGCTGCCCAGCTTTGAAAGCCGAGTCACTGCCAACAGCAGCACAAAAGTTAGAGCAACACTACCACAACTCCCCTCTACAATAATCTTTTGACCCTCCCACGACACTTTTTTCAGGTCAGGATACCCACATTATCAACACTGTGAAATTTCAAATATAAAAAGCTCAAATCATGACATTTATTATTTTTACAATCCTATGGCTGTGAAATTTTACCAAAATGACTCAAATTTGGTAGGGTCCTATCTATGAATCAGCAGACATGAAGGGTGGACATGGGATTACAAGAGCTTTTCCATACCCATGTACTGTGAGTTTGGTTTGGACAAAGGAGATGCAAGCCACATGGCAACATAGAAAGGCAACTGCATCATCACCATTTTATCTTCAATCCTGCTTCTCACCTCTGTAGTAATTTCTCTACAAACTGAAGCTTTGAACAAAGGACTGATAGACGCATCCAAGCTTTGAATGTGTTCCGGAGGGATTTTATAAGCAAGCAAACCCACCAATGCTGCTAATAACCTGATATATGGACACTGAAGTCATATGTATCTGATTGTTTTGATTATTTAACAACTGTCTTGTAATTATTTTCTAATAAGCCTTTGGATACTAAAGGATTGGCTGGCAGCATGGCATTTTGGGTAAGAGCCAAACTAGTAACGATATGGAACGTGAGGATCAGAAGACCATTTTGTATAGTAAATAGTTTTAAGTTCATTGTATTGAGCCTATTTGCTGATTTAGACCTAGGGATGGGAATGCAATAGAGCTTTATATGATTTCATTCCTTTCAGTTTCTTGATAACAAGTGTGATAGATGAATACACAGACACACAAGATGCTGGTTGGTGAATAACTACAGTGTTAACAACCAGTTGGCGGGGGATCAGCTGTTTTTTTCAGCCTGTCCTAATTGACATTTCCTGTGTGGGATACCCTAGGAACTTCGAATCACACCCTGATTGATCAGAAAATTCCTGTCCAGCTGTAGTCTTCAGGACTCCATCCTCTGATCGTTTTACCTTCTCTTTGATTTCTTCAAACTGTACTTATCTCCTCAACCAGTTTCTATAAGAATTTTACAGAGCTCTGTTCTTGGCCCATTCTTCTTCTCCCTTTATATAACTTTCACACTCTTTTATCCGATTGGCTATCATTACTTAATTTGCCATCTTTATGATAATGGTTCCCAAATCTACCTCTCCAATTTTGATGTGCCTTCCACCATCCGAGTCACATGACTCCTTTCTGTTACTTTATCAATGTAAACTTAATGTGACTAAAAGAGAATTCTTTATTCATGCTTCCCCAAGTACTTTCCATCCCCCCATTTTCTGTAAATATTGACAATGCCACTATTTTCTATATCACTCAGGCCTACAATATATGGGGTGGATAATTTTTTACTCCTCCTTTTTTTCGCCCTAACATCCAGGTCATGTCCATATCTCATAGCTTCTTCCTCAACAACATTTTCTTTTTGTCCACATAGCTCAAATTCTCATCAACATCACATTGTCTCTAATATTTAATGCTGTAACCTATAATCACCCTTCTCTAGCCCAATAAAAGCATTTCCCACCATAATATTGTCCTTCTTTGAATCTCTTTACTGTCTGCCATTTTACACTACATTCAAGTGAAGTTTCTTGTCTGTACCTTTTGTGCACAACAACTGTGACCCTACCTCTTTCTGCTCTTCTACTTTATCAAGCCACTTCTCCATCGTGGCAACTATGCCAACCTTGACTATTACTTAATCCTTCAAGCACATTCAATTACTCCTTATGCACAAAGCATCTTCTTCAAATGAATGTGTAAAGTTTCAACTACCTTGTCCTCCTTCAAGACCCACGATTGTGATGTTCACATAAAATAACCACATGATCATGGCTGGATAGAGAGCCAATAAGAGTTTCTGATTTTTTTTTTTTTAAATATAAAGAAGTTAGGTAACTATCAATGCACAAATCTTATATTAAGTGTGTAAAATTACTGTTATTCTTTGTTTTCCTATACCTATGTTTTTACATTCACTTGCTTCATCATGTCTTAACTCAGTCTGCATTGGTTTTAGCAGCAATGGCATCTTCAAATGTCTACAATAGCGCCGAAAAACTGCAGTTAAAATATGGGACCCATCTCAACACTAACTATAAATTATACTGTAGATTTGAAATTGCCCTTGATTTAAAGAAGTTATTTACTGAGTTGGGAACAGATATTGATGAAAGTGGAATCAATTTGTATCTACAATTCATGCTTATACTATAAATCTGCTACATTCTAGTTCTGTAGGGTAACAATTTTTATACTAAATGCCTACAGAAAGATAAAGGACATAAAAAATGCATTTTTTAGAAACAATTTACTCTTCCGTCACAAAATTGATTCCCTATCTTCTGGCTACTCAATTTTATAGTGTGTCAAGAGCAAGTAATTAAAGCGCTACAATCATTAAATGAATAAATAAATAAATAAATGCTACTTTACATGCTCATTCTAAAAAAAAAAACCAAGGATGATAATCAATTGAAAAGTCTATGGATGACTAACAAAGGTTAAAGGTAAGCCAAACACATTCAAAACTTGCCTCATCTATCACTTTTGCAAACTGTTGTAGGGTAGAGCTCATAACTTCATCGTCGCCCCCTAATGGAAAACGCTATAAAAATAAAAAATAAAATGATGACACATCCTTGTGGATGACAAAAGAAAGCTGTAACCTAACAACATACTAGATGTCTAATTATTTTGAAAGGAAAATACAGGAACTTAAAATCTCCAAGTTTATATTCAGTACTTATAATTAACTTGAAGGACATTTTGCAGAATAGCTTATTACAGGAAATACTCGCCGTTCATGAATATTGGCAGCTGCGGCTCCCAGGCCCCTGGTGAGCTCTCCACAGTTCCCAAACTCACCAGAGGGGTCAGCCCCTTCTCCACCCCAGGCCGTGACAGGAGACCCACTAATATATGGGACCACAAATAGCAATTCTGTGAATCACGAGGGTCTCCTGTACTTTCATGTAACAAAGAATATTTATGACAAGTACGTAAATAGTTACCTCTTTTTTTAAATATGTCAGATTAGTTCTAGTATTTGAGAAAGATTCAAGCTTGACTTCTCTGGAGAATTACATTATTATTCCAGTTTTGTCAACTCTCTCAACTTTAGATTCAGTGTTTTCCCCAGGTCTCAAAGTCATGTGATTTTAAAACAATGTCTAGAGTAAATTTCTAGCTTTCATGATTATGGAGAGAAGCTTACAAGTAGGAGCCTAAAGTAGGAGGTTAAAAATCCAGAAAGCCAATTTATTTGTGAAATTTCATACTTTAACCATGGTTGTTTTTTTTTGTAGAGTGGTGACCTTACCCACCCTTTTTGAATACATGAGATTGCCAACAATGTTTTTCATCCTTTATTTTCTTTAATAGGAAAATGCATGGGCATCCTCAAGTTTTAAAATATTAATTTTGTTTTAGGTTGTTTTGTGGTGCATTTTAAACATTTCTCCTTCATAGCAGTGCCAGCAATTATCTAAAGTAGTAGAAAGTCTAAGAATAACAAACCTAGCCTTCCACAGTAATGGAAAAGTAAATCAAATACGGGGTCCAGTTACTTTGACTTCTGATACTTAATTCATAGCAATTATATTATATACACACACAGTGAGTTTTGCCTTAGTTAGGACCGCAAGACTTATACCTTACATCTACTGACAGGCCATCAAAGTTGTAACTAAACATCTAACTGAAATGAGGAAATTCACGATACCTGTGGGAGCTAGAATTCCATCACTAAAATGTGTCTCATTATAGCTAATAAGCAAAATGCAAGGTAGAAATGTAAAAATTTGTTTAGAAATATAACCGTGTAACTCCTAAAAATCATAGTGGTTATATGCTCCATGGGTTCTGCAGTATAAAGTTTAAATAAGCTTTGAACTACAGAACCCGGAGTGAAGCCTACCTAGAAGTGGGGCCAGAAGCCCCATGCTGAAAAGTCAGTCTTATTAATTTCTCCTCATAGGGAAGCTGTTCCATACCCCTAATCATTTATTACCTTTTTCTGTATCTTTTCCAATTCCAGTATGTCATTTTTGAGATGGTGCATTACAGTATTCAAGATGTGGGAGCATCATAGATTTATAGAGAGGCAATATGGTATTTTCTGTCTTAATATCTATCCCTTTCTTAAGAATGCCTAACATTCTGTAGCAGCTTGGGATTCAATTAAGCATTATAACTGACTTGATAAGAATAAGCTATTAAAAAGTTATAGATGTTGGCTCCATCCAGAGGAAGATTTGAAACAAGAAGTTCCAGCTTCACAGCTGTGAATTATGTAACAACTTGGAATCTCAACAGAAAGTGAGGGAAAAAAAAATCAAGGAAAGAATGAAGTTCATATAAACGATCTCTCCACTGCTGTATTCAAGAGAACGTGCAAGGCGAGAGTGAAAGGGCTGACTACTTCAGATTTATGGGACTGTGACAGGATGTATAAATCCCGTCACTGGACAGGAGGGTATTAAGGAGAAACGTTTGGTTAAGGATGCTCCGCACCTCCATCCTTGTCAAGCATGCTTGGTTTGGAGATGGGAGTTTAAAAAGCAACCACACAGCTCAGTCTGGGGCTGGTGATCCAGTGGGAAGGATGTGCTATGGAAGCACCAGGTAAAGACATAAGCTGAGCTCACACTAAGTCAAGGAATTTGGGACCCACAGCACTTGGAGACTGACCAGGGCTAGAAGCTCAGAAGGCAGTGTTCTCCAGGAACAGACGGTGGCTGGCTAGTATGAACAGGGAGACATTAAGAGATCCAGGGAAACTGACTTGATACTGACACAAGGCACCACCAGGTGAGTGAAGTCCAATTAGCCTCCCAAAGCTCAGCGTTGAAAAGTGGTAGAGTAGGATAGCCTGGGATCCAGTAGCCTACCTGACAAGTGCAGCCCCTATGTGGGTGGGGTGGCTGCCCACAGAGACCATTCAAAAATAAATTGCAATCCAAAGCCCTCTATTTTCTCACATTTCCTTAATGGCACTACTGTGCATGTTAAATATCACTCTTTTCAGTGGGGAAGCAAATTATGAGTTTTATAGTTTATTTTAAAAATGCCAATTTGGGGAGCAGGGGGATTTATCCTCCCACCACTGGAGATTTTTGTTCCTGGGAACAGGCTTCATCCCTTCTCATTTGTTGGGTTGCTGGGAAATGGTACAGCTTCAGGCCACACAATCTCTTCTTATGACTACTAGAATTAAAACTGTCCTCTAGTAAGTGATCACTACTTTGGAGCTACAATCCTTGTAAAATGTCTCTGGATAACTGATGGTCAGCCAAAGAAGCTCCTTTTCCTAATATTATTCATTGTTATGGACCTAACCTGAGCCTAAAACTCGGCCTTGTGAAAAACTCACAGGAAGTCTAATGTAGCATTCTGTACGTTCCTCTACGGATTGGGTATGTTCAGCACAGAACAGAAAGCAACACCTGTTGCTAGTGAAGTTCTTGTAAACCAACAGATGCAATAGCTCATTTTGTTTGGGTCAGACCTGCACAGTTTTGCATTTTGCTGTATTGGAAGAAAAAAACTGTACTTTTTAAAATAGTATACAAAAGCATGTACTCTGAACTATTTCAAAATGAAACTGATTCATACTTTACCTGCGTCTCATACTCTTTTAGAAGTTTTGAAGTTAGATGAGTTGCTACGCTCAATTCATTCTGGTTTAAAATAAAAAGGGAAACAGTTTTAGCTTATTTTCCTTCTGATCAATATACACTGTGGGCATTAACATTTATGTAGAGGAAATATAGAAATACAAATCAAAACGTTAAAATGGGGACTCATCTCAAAACATGTACAGCCAGCTTTTCAGAGGGGCTGAAACCCACAACTCCTACCAAAGTTAATGGGAGTGAATGAGTGCTGAGTATTTCTGAAAGTCAATGTAACAATACATACCATGCACACACTGCAGAGTTATCACACCCATGAAAATTGGGCCTACGTTCAAATTTGCAGATAACAATATTTAGTTCACATCAGCTATCCTAGCTACTCAGCACAATATTAACTACATTGTGGAGAACAAACCATTCCATTAACTGGTTACAATTTTTTAAAAATCCCTATGTAGAAAGGGACTAAGGAAAAATCTCTACAAACAGTGTCATGACAGAAAAGCATGAAATTACTATCATACACCTGGACAGCTGAAAGTGCAGAAAAAGGAAGAAACACCAATGAAGCAACAGTTAACAAACAGGTGGGTAATAAAAAGAACTACCTCTCACATATATGCACCACCACCATAACCCAAATCAAGTTACAAGCTATAGGAATTAATGTTAATAAGATCAAGTGAATAAAGCAAGAAACTGTTCAAACGTATTTATAAATGCACATTACAGCCACAATGGCAATTGTTCAGAAAAAAAATCAAATGCTTCTGGTGTCCATCATAATATTAATGTACAGTTGTCTGTATGCGAGTGATCCACTGCTCACAATATATCCGAAATCAATCTTAGACATAATATTTCATAGAATAAGATCATAATTAGAGCAGCTCATTTAAACGCATAAAGGTGTGTTAAGAGCAGAAACAACACGACCCTTCCAACTGATAAATCTTGTTTCAAAACCAGCAGGCCTTGGCAAACATGGCATTCTCCAGTTTTATCTCTATTTTTTAATCTATAGTTTAAAAAATACAGTTTACTCATGTTCAAAAAAGCAGTTGAAATGTTTTTATAATCTTTCTAAATGCACACCGGAAACATCTATAATTTTACCTGTGCATCACAAATTCGGCGCATGGCTTGATATAACTGGTTGATATAACTGGAAATTGCTGCAGCATCTTCTTCAAATACACCCAGCAAAGACCTTGTCTGTCAAAAATGGAACACACGATGTATTATTCTTTGACAAGCTGATTTTTAAAACAATGTCTTAGTATTTCAAAGTCATTAAATATGATTTAATTAGTAACGCAGTTTGTCTTTTCTCAATGACACCAGAGACTTCAAAACTTATAAAAATAGGGTTTAAGAAAGCATGTTTCCCAGTCATAATTTAGAGGCTTGTAGTAAAGTTTACAAAACTTCAAATTACGGTGTCTTTATATGTTTCTATCTGGAAGATGTAGATAGGTCAGAGTGAGCCCTTTAACAGAGCTGGGCTCAGTCTCTTATGTGCCTGGCCAGTTCACCTCAGGATTGGGAATCTAGAGGCGGGTGACAGTCATATGATCTGCAGGGCTACAGAATATAAGAAGCAGCCTGAACTCTACCAGGGAGAATTTGGAGGAAAGCTCTCCAGAGTAGAGCCAAGAGAGAAAGATCCAAAAAGTGGAATAGGCCTAGGGCCAGGCCAGTGAATAAAGAAACTAAAGGGAAAGGAGCAGACTTCATGTAGGAATTGGTCTAGGGGAATGAAACAAGAATTCTATGTAGTGACAATGAACTGGAGCTTAATGTTCCATCACTGCTCACTAAAGAATCCCTGGATCAAAGTTCCCTTACAGCACTACCTGGAGACAGTGGTTCATACATGCCCTGAGCTTTTCAATAGCATGATTGCCAGAAAGGACAGCATGACTGCTTTCCCAGAAAAGGAGGATGTCTTTTGCATCCGAGTCTGGTGAGAGGCAGTAAGAAGGCACAGTAAGCCTGAACTAGGGTGGTAAAAAACACGTTTTTCTTCATTTGTTAGAGGAGAAGGACTTTCAGAATTCACTGAAAGCTGAACTCTAATAGACAACAAATCTCACAGTTTTCCTTTTGACAGCACAGTAAGACCATGCCTCCACATCTGGGAAGGTATTCCATATTAAAATCCCATTATAGAATCATATGATATTAGAACTCAAAGGGACCTCAAGAGGTCATCAAGTCCAGTTCTCTGCCCTCACGGCAGAACCAATCACCATCTACATCATCCCTGACAGATGTTTATCTATCTAACCTGCTCTTAAATATCTCCAGTGATGAAGATTCCACAACCTCCCTAGGCAATTTATTCCAGTGTTTAACCACCCTGACAGGATGTTTTTCCTAATGTCCAACCTAAACCTCGCTTGCTGCAATTTAAGCCCATTGTTTTTTGTTCTATCATCAGAGGTCAAGGAGAACAATTTTTCTCCCTCCTTTTAGGTACTTATTTATGTACCCCCTCAGTCTTCTCTTTTCCAAACTAAACAAGCCCAATTTTTTCAGCCCTGCTTCATGACTCATGTTTTCTAGACCTTCAATAATTTTTGTTGCTCTTTTCTGGACCCTCTCTAATTTTTCACATCTTTCTTGAAATGTGGTGCCTAGAACTGGACGCTATACTCCAATTGAGGCCTAATCAGTGCATAGTAGAGAGGAAGAAGGACTGAGAGTCTTGCTCACAACACTCCTGTTAATGTATACCAGAATCACGTTTGCATTTTTTGCAACAGTGTCACACTGTTGACTCATATTTAGCTTATGTACCCTATAACCTTTAGATTCCTTTCTGCAGTACTCCTTCCTAGACAGTTACTTCCCATTTTGTGTGTGTGAAACTGATTGTTCCTTCCTAAGTGGAGTACTTTGCATTTGTCTTATTAAACCACATTCTATTTACCTCAGACCATTCTCCAGTCTGTCCAGATCATTTTGAATTATGACCCTATCCTCCAAAGCACTTGCAATCCCTCCTAGCTTGGTACCATCTGCAAACTTTATAAGCATTCTCTCTCTGCCATTATCTAAATTGTTGAAGATATTAAACAAAACTGGTCCCAAAACTAACCCCCGCAGAATCCCATTTATGCCTATGTATATTAAGTTTTGCTACATCTTTTTGTCTGTGGAATTTTTTACAAATAATTTTTAAAAGTATGAAACCATAATCAAAACAAACAGCTGAAAGTAATACCCACAAAATACCACTTGTTTTGCAAATCTACTGTAAGACAGTCCCTGCTCAAAGCTTACAAAATTATATTAGCTTTTTAAGAAGTCAGAACCGTCTTTATTGGTAAGGGGTAGATGAAAGGGGAAAACTATTAAATCTAGATACCCAGCAATCCAGGCTCTGTTTATCTTTCTAGCATAGAGCTATGCTCACTTCTTTCGATACTTTAATTGCTATAGCCCAGCGTTTCCCAAACTATGGGCCTCGGCCCACTACCAGGCCGCAGGAAAAAAATACCAGGCCTCAGCGTGGTTGCCGGGAGGGAGCAGAGTGGAGCGGGCTGGGAGGTGGTGTGTGTGTGGGGAAACCAACCACCAGGAAGCAGGATTGGGGGCAGCGTGGCTGTCCCGCAGAGATGGGGGGGGGCCAGCTGTCGGAAGCAGGGTTGGAGGCAGCGGGGCTGTCTGGTGGAGATCAGGGCTGGGGGGCAGTGAAGGCAGGGTTGGGGTGGAAGCAGGGTTGGGGGCAGCAGGGCTGGCGGTCAGTCGAAGCAGGGTTGGAGGTAGCAGAGCTGTCATATGGAGTTCTGGGTGGGTGGCCGGTAGAAGCAGGGTTGGGGGCAGCGGGGCTATCTGGTGGAGATCAGGGAGGGCAGGCAGTGGAACCAGGGTTGGACGGGCGGTGGGGAGGCTGGCCGGGGGAGATCGGGAGGAGGAGGACAAGAGAACCAGCTGCTGGAAGCAGGGCTGGACTGGGGCAGCGGGGCTGGTCGGGAGGGTCATCAGGGGAATGGGGCTGACCGGGGAAGATCGGTTGGGGGCGGGGAGGAACCGGCCGCCAGAAGCAGGGCTGGATGGGGGCAGCAGGGCTGGACTGGGGAGATCAGGAGAATGGGGGGGGGGGGGGAGGGG